CTGCACACATCATGTTGCTGGTGATCACGCCGGGATAGAAGACTTCACACTCCTTAGGGCTCAGGATAGTGACCCTGGAGCAGCTCAGGCCCTTGTTGTACTTCACTGATGGGAGAAAGCATCGGGTAACCCTGGGGCCCCAGCTCCCAGTGCCCCAGGCCCCAGGAGTCCCGACACGCAGACCGTGCCCCTCCCAGGCCCCAGACTCCCAGCCTCTCCTCCATCCGGGAGTCCCGGCCCCGCTTCCTCCTTCCCCGAGATCCAGGCTGCCCTGGGCCCCTGGCTCTTGCCTCTCCGGGAGGAAGTGGTGGCCCAGCCAGCGATCTGGCACTGGTCCCCGGGCTGCGTGCAGCGGAAGGGCAGGCGCAGGGGCCGCACGCGAGGCCCCGGCACCACGGGCCTGCCGAGCTTCAGCAGCATGAGGTCATGCTCGTCCGTGCGCCTCGGCAGGATGGGGCCTGAGCCCTGCTGGTACTTGGGGTGGACGATAGGACGAGAGGTCCGGCGCAGCTGTTCGCCCTGCAGCAGCAGCAGGTGGTCGTCCCCGACTCGAGCCCACAGAGGCCTGGGGAGGGAAGAGCCTTCATCGGGACTGAGGCTGAGCCCCGAGTCCCTGGGAAGGAGGGTACAGGCATTGGGGTCGGGGTGGACTCTTGAGTCCTGGCAGGGGAGGGGGCTGGGGCTGGGACTCTAGGGTCTGAGGGAGGAGGGGCTGGGGGCCTAGATTCTTGGGTCTGATGGTGGAGGGGGCTGGGACTCCTAGGTCTGAGTAAGCAGCGTGTAGGGGAGAAGGGAGCTGGAGACCTGAGGTGGAGGCATGGGGATATGTGACCACGGGTTTGGGTCCCTAAGTTCTGCAGGATTTGAGGGCAGAGGGTCTCCATGGGTAAACCTACTCTTTTCTTCCTCCTTTAGTGAGGACTCACAAGGTGAATAACTTCTTTTAGTTTTAAAGTCCTAACCACACTAGACCCCAACTTCTGTCTGCTGCACAGAACTGTCTACACCTAAGAGGAAAACCCTGATGTTGGGAAAGATTGAGGGCAGGAGGAGAAGGGGGCAACAGAGGATGAGATGGTTGGACAGCACCATCGACTCAATGGACATGAGTTTGAGCAAACTCTAGGAGATAATGAAGGACTGGGAAGCCTGGTGTGCTGCAGTCCATGGGGTCACAAACAGTCTGACGTGACTTAGGGACTGAACAACAAAAACAGGAAAAATGGAACCCTAAGAGATTCGGCTGGGCAGTGGCTCTGGATGGGCCCAGAAACGCTGAGAAAGACCACACTGCCCCCTCGTGGCCACAGCACAACTCCACCTCTCCTCCTACAGGAAGCCCTCCAGGACTGCCCCCACGTGGAGCTGGCAGGCCCATACCCTCACGTGCTCCCGCCCCTCCCGCCCGCCCCCCGGGGCCTGTCTCCCCAGCCCCTCCGTAGCGCCCCAGGGGAGCTCCCCCTACTTATTGTTCCCGCAGTGTGCAGCGGTGAGCACCCAACTCCTGTCCACCAGGACGCCGGCGCAGTGGAACGAGAGGCCGTTGAAGAGGGACACCTGCCAGGGCTGCGAGCCGTGAGTGCACGGGGCGCCGGAGGCCACGACGCGGGAGCTTGTGTCGTTTGCGGGGAGCAGCAGAGCCTCCGAGACTGGAGAAAGAAAGCAGGTGGGGGTCGGAGCAGTCAGGGCAGTATGGCCAGCACTGGGTCTGGGATCCGAGTGGGGCCATAGGACGGGGCTTTTTCGGGGGTGGTGGTGCACAGCCTGAACCCGACGGCGTGTGTGGGAATTGGCTGTCCCGAAGCAACCGAGTGGAAGTGGGCGGAGAACGGCGTGAGAGGGGAAAGGAGACCCAAGGGGCCTCCCCTGGTGGCTCAGACAGAAGAGAATCTGCCTGCAAGGCAGGAGACTCGCGTTCGATCCCTGGGTCGGGAAAATCCCCTGGAGGACGCGATGGCAACCCAGTCCAGGATTCATGCCTGGGAAATCCCGTGGACAGAGGAGCTTGGCGGGCTAAGTGCATGATGACTGAGCGACTGACACTTTCACTTTCACTTGCAAGGAGACCGAAGAGGCTGATTCTGGAGGAGTGAGGAGTGAACCGAGTACAGGACGACGTCAGGAATACAAGGAGGCGTGGCTGTGGGTGTGGCTAATGGGGCGTGGCTAATGGGGGCGTGGCGAAAGGGACGGGGATAGAACTCTGCGCTGCGGCGGTGAAAGTTAGGGTTGGGTGGGTGAAAGTTAGTTAGCGCTACCATGCTAGCAGAAGGGGTGAGGGCAAAATACTGTAAAAGCAAGGCTTGGGATAGGGACTCCTCTGTTGGTCCGGTGACTGAGACTCCACACTCCCACTGCAGAGGGCGTAGGAGTTCAGTCCCTGGAGGGAACTAGATTCCACAGCCTTCAACTAAGAGTTCGCCGGCAGCGACTGAAGATCCCACACGCCAAAGCTAAAAAGATGCCCCAACTAAAAGTTGCAGCTGTGTGCTGCAACTAAGACCCGGCGCAGCCAAATAAATAAATACATATTTAAAAAAAAAAAAAAGACTTGGGATTAAAATAGGGCGGAGTAAGAAGGGGCGGGGAGGGGAAAGGCGAGGACAAAGTGGGGGGTGTACTGATCCTAGCGGAGTGAAAAGGTTGGGATAGCTAGGGCGGAGTTAGAAGAGGGGCGGGTCTGACTTGGGGCCGGGCCTTTCCGGACCGGTGGGTGAGTGCTGGGGGTCCCAAGGGGAGGAGAAGTGCGCGACAGGTTTGGTGATAACAGCCCACTCTCCCATCGCCTCCCCGCCGCCCGCCCGCCGCCCACCCCATTCCCCGGCAGCCCCCTCCAAGCCTGCCTCCCCGCCTCACCCCAGAATTGCGCCATCAGTAGCGGCAGCAGCAGCTTCCCCAGGCCGCCCTGAGCGCCGGAGGCGGCGGAGAGGTGGAGATGTGGAGGTCTCATGGCCAGGACCTAGGCTGGGTAGGAGCAGCGACGCAGGCAGTTCAAAACACTTGCCGGGTCCGAGACCCCCACCTTGCCTGCCCGTCCGCGCATCCTGGGCCACCCCAACCTGCGGGGACCCGTTTAACCTGCGGCTGACGGGCGCAGGGGTGGGTAGCCTGGCGATTCGGGCCTGAACCGCCAGTGATGGGCGCAATTACCCTAATGACGCCCCTCTGGCGTCCTCCCTCACTCCCCGTCCCACGCCCGAGGGCAGCGCCCTCCTGGCCCGGGCTGTCCCGGGCTGTCCCGGGTGCCAACCTCTCGGCGCTTCGGGTTCCTGCCCTCCTTCATATAAATGGGCTGGAGCTTCGAGGCTCAGAGGATAAAGAGGATAAAGAAGCTGAGTCTCCAACAAGTCTACCCGCCACCCGAAGGTGCCCACCTGGGCTCTGGCGACCCACCCCCACCAAGGTGAGGTGCGTGCCGCTCACCTGGGAGCTGTGGAGGGGAAGACGTGCCTCAGCCCTGCCTTGTGGGCCGCTGGACTCCTCTGCCAAGGGACCCCTGGGCAGGCCTCCCCTTTTAACCCCGAAGAGCCTGTTTCCCCACCCTCCCCTCAGGGAGGTACCCACTCCCTTTCCCTCTCCCTAATTATGCCGTGGGTGAGGCTGGGCCCCAGATTCCTGCTTTGGGAGGGGCCCAGGAATACAGGCTTCTCCTAGTGCCTGAAACACCCTTTCAGAACTTGGATTTCGTGGGGTTTCCCCAGGTCCGGTGTTCCCAGAAGCTTTCTTAGGTGAGGAGAGAGGGGGGCCACATCCCCAGAAGTTGCCCGGGGGTCACTGGCATAGTGCTGGAGACAGATGACTGTAAGCAGAGAGAGAGGGAAATAAGTAAACAGGGAAATGCATACTGAGAGTGACGTAATGAGAAAAGCCGGACGGCTGACCTGGAAAGAGGGAAGCAGAGCGATAAGACAGATGGAAGGAAAAAGAGTGGGAGCAAGAGACACAGACACAAGGAAAAGAACGCACAGAGAGGCAGGTGCGGACACAGAGGGATGCTCTGTGCCTGGGCGCGCACCCGTCCACAGCCAGAGTGATGTCCTTGTGTGTCCCGGCCCCTGTGTGTAGGGGAGGTTCCGCACCCTCTTCGGGCACTTCCCATCCTTCCTGCCACCTGCGTGTCTCCAGGTGACACACAGGCCCGTGAGTCACAAGAGGCCAAAAGCTGCAAGGGGCATCCCATGGCACTTCAGCCAACTCCCTCATTTCGGGTGAGGAATGGGAGGCTCAGAGAGGGCAGTGACTCACAGGAGGCCACGCAGCAAAGTCCACTTAACCACTCAGAGGCCCCAGTCCCAGCTCGGGGCTCTGACTCCTCCTGCCAACCACCTCCCCTGCCAGGTGAGCAGAATGTGAGGAGAGATCTAGTTCTGGACTATTTGTGATGCTTCTTCTCCAACAAGAAGTGGGTTAATTCCAGAGGTAGCCCAGCTCTGTGCCCTCCAACTGAACTTTCTGCCGCAATGGAGAGGCTCCGTATTTGCTATCCAACGCAATAGCCACCAGCCACATTTGGCTAGAGAGGTTTTGATATGCGACGGGTATGACTCAAGGATTACATTTCTGATTTTGGGCCATTTAAATTTAATGTTAATTTAAATAGCCACATGTGGCTAGTGGCTAATGTATTGACCTGCAAAGGTCTTGATGAACTACCTATTATGAAGGTTGGAAAGAAAACAATGATCCCTTCCTTTTATTGGGTCTCAGCTATGTGCAGGCTGACTGACGGAGTGTACATACTTCTGCATGCACAATTTTACAGATAAGGAAAGGAGTCTTAATCAAGGCAGTGTTGTTAAGAAATGATCCCTTGCTCCTCTTACTTACTGGCTGTGTGACCGTGAATAGGCGACTTCTTATCTCTGTGTCTTAGTTTTCCTCGTCTGCAAAATGGGTATAATAATAACAGCACCAGCCTCATATGGTTTTGTGAAGATTGTGTCGGTTGACATATTTAAAAGCCCTGGGACCAGGGTCACCAGGAGCATTCAAAAGATTCATTCGTTTAGTAAATATTTATTGAAACCTTAGTGTGTGCCAGGAATTGCATTTGCAGCTGGAGGTACAACAGTGAACCACACAGCTATTTTCACTCCCAGAGTCACAAGTTAGAATGAGGCAGGAGTAGAACCCAGGTCTCCTAACTCCAAATCCTAACCCTGATTACTAAGTAATCACACTGATTACCAAGTTAACAGCATCTCTCGTGGTCAAGAAGGCCTCTCCCCCCACAAAGTACATGAGGCTCAGACTTCCTTATTAACAGAATGAACAGGAAACCTCAGCCCCAAGTAGGGATTAGGGGATTGGGCTGTGATCAGCTGGTCCTGGCTAATTGTTCTCCATGGTCTTCTGGATCCAGTCCACATATTTGCAGACCTTTGTGTAAACACCAGGCTTTTTGGAGACAGCACATGGATCCTGGCCCCAGGAGATGATGCCTTGAAGAGACCCATTACAGACCAGAGGGCCACCAGAATCACCCTGGAGATGGGGAAAAGAGAACCAGTTAGACAGGAGGTGAGAGGGGAAAGTGTTCATGGTCTTCGAGAGGACGTGGGGATGGTGTTAGAAGAGAGGTGGAGATTGAAGATAGGATTGAGGATGAGGTTAGAGTTACAAGTGAGAACAAAGATAGGAGAGAAAACTGATTGGGGGGACTTCCCTGGTGGTCCAGTGGTCAAGAATCAGCCTTCCAATGTAGGGGATGTGGGTTCAATCTCTGGTCAAGAAAGTAAAATCCCACATGCAGTTAAGCCTGGGGTCCACCACTAGAGCAAGCATGATTTGAGGATGGTTGGGGCTGGAAATAGGGGTGGGGATGGGAGTGGAGCTGGGGATTGTGTTTAGGTTTGAAAGGGGAACCAGGAGTGGAGCTGGATTGGGGGGTTGCTGGGGAAAGTTGGGGAATGAGATTCTGGCTGCTGATGAAGATTCGACTGAGGTGGGAGCTGGGAATGGAAATGTGGTCGGAGACCCAGGCCCTGCCCTCTGACCTGGCAGGAGTCCTTGCCCTCCTTTCGGACACTGGCACACACCATCGTGTCCGTGATGTTGCCGGGGTAGGCGTCCTCACACTCCTTGTGCTTGATGATGGTGATGTTGGCACATCGCAAGGTACGGGGCAGGTGCACTGTAGAGGCGACATGAGGGGGCACAGAGAATGAGAAGCCCCCGGTCCCCTTCCCTACACTGCAGGGCTGCCTCTAACCCCGGCAGAGAACCAAGGTCCTTTCTCTGCACCCAGTTCCCGTCATTCTTGCTTGCAGCAACTCACCTCTCTTCTTGTAGCGACAGTAACAGTAATGCCATTAAGTAAAATTCTTTATGCCAGTTGCTCTATAAACATTATCTCTTATCTAGACCTAGCAGGTGGGTGTGATTATTCTCATCTTATAGAGAAGCCACTTGCCTAAGGACCTACAACTCTGCAGGTCGTGGATCTGAAATTGCACATCCTGTCTCTGAATCCAGGCCCCAAACGTTTGTCTCCACCCTCCCCAGCCCTAACATTTCCACTCTTTCTTTTGACTTATCCCACTGTTGACACCCCTGGGGTGGCCTCCTTTTGTATTCCTGCAAGTTCTCGTCTTTGCTATCCTTCCGCAATCATAACCGCGTGCCCCGCCCCTCCCCATCGCGTGCCCCTCTGGAGCCCCTACACTGGGGGCTGGACATGGTGCCCCAGCCGGAAATGAGGCAGTTGGCGCCCGCGGTGACGCAGCGCCGTGACACGGTGAGGGGTCGTACGGCCCAGGTGAGCTGGGCCGGGGTCATCATCTTCACCAGCATGATGTCGTTGCGGTGGTCTTTGTTGGGGAGGCTGTTGTTGAAGTCTGGGTGGGGGAAGGACTGGGTGGCAGTTCGGGTCTGCTCACAGCCATCCTGCTGCCGGAGGCTGTGCGCCCCCAGGTGAACCACGTATCGGCTGAAGTGGGAGACACACCGCGGGTCAGAGACGGAAGGGGAGGGAGACACAAGAGATGGAGAGAGGTGTGGTGGGGGGGTGGAGGGGGAGAGACGGAGAGAATGAGGAAGCAGCGCGGCTCCCCCTCCAGCCTCGTCCCCGTCGCCCACCACGCACCACGACCTTATCCTCAACACGACATCCGAGCCCAGCGCCATCCCGGCTTCCGACATCCTTCATCGTCCTAGCTTCAGTCTCAGCCCCATCCCACCGTCGATCCCTGACCCCACAGTCCCCACCCGAGCCCCTCTCCACCCATCTCTCCATCTCCAGCCCCCTCCCCTCCCAGCCCCGCCCCAGCCCCCGCACCCACGGCTTGCGGCAGTGGGCTGCTGTCAGGAGCCATCTGGGGGCGATGAGAGTGGCCCCGCAGAGCAGCCTCGTCTTCTGGAACAGAGCCACCTGCCAGGGCTGTGAATGAGGGGCGCACTCGTAGCCCTTGATGATTCTGGTCTCTCCCCCGACGTGCCCTAGCAGGGTGGGGAAGCCAAAGAGGGGGCCCAGCCATGAGAGGACTCCCAGAAATGGGGGGGAGGGGATCACAACCCTGGGGACTCACTGTATGGACCGGCTGGGCATTAGATGATTGAAACCCTTCCATACCAGCTGCTCAGCAGCCACTGTCCTGAGCTCTCTGAGTGTCTCCCACACCACCCCACCTGCCCTAGGCCCTCCTCTGGGACTGTCTTTGTCTCTTCCCTATTCTAGCTCTAAAGGGATTACACCTTTGGGTGGCAGGGGGCATCCGAGACTCGTTACGGCTCATCTACTCTTTCAGATGCCCTGTTATTCTGTATTTTTAATATCAGCTCCATCAGTGTCTACACCTTGAGGGCTGGGAATCCTAGAGACTCTGGAGGCCCCTGCCCGTCCCCACCCCCCACCGTACCTGTCACCAGAGCAAACATGATTAATTGCAGAGTCATCATGGCCTGCAGCGGGGGAGGGCAGGCCCCAGGTTCTTCTGGGAACAAGATGGACAAGAGGCCGAATCACTTCATGGGGAGATGGAGGGCTGGTGCGTGACCCTGCTCCGGCTCCTCCCCCAGCAAGAAACAACCAGGTTTGCGGAATTCCCTGGTTCTCACAGCCACCCCAACCTCCAAATTTTTAAAAATAAATCTCTAGTATGGAGGCTGGCTTTGCAGGGCCCAGTCCCAGTTAGGGGCTTCCCCAGTGGCTCAGTGGTAAAGAATCCGCCTGCCAAAGCAGGAGACCCAGGTTCCACCCCTGGGTGGGGAAGATCCCCTAGAAAAGAAAATGGCAGCCCACTCCAGTATTCTTGCCTGAAAAATCCCGTGGACAGAGGAGCCTGGCGGGCTGCAGTCCATGGGGTTGCAAAGAGTCGGACACAACTGAAGTGACCGAGTACACACGCATACACTCCCAGTTGGAAACTCCAGAAGCTAGGGGAGGGCTTTGCCCAGGGCAAGGGATGGGCTGACCCTGTGTAGTCAGCCATGGGACCTCGTAGGCCCTTCTTGCCCATCTGAGACTTAGGGCCCAGCCAGCTGGGGGTCGGGGGATAAAGGGAACCAGGCTCCATTCAGTAACCACCCCAGAGCTATCTGGGGTGTAGGAGGGAGCTCAGCCTGGGACATCATTCTGACCCCCAACTCTGCTGAACCCCTGCCCCTTGGAAGAACAGCTAGACAGGGCAGAGTGGGGCTGGTCACCTGGCCAGTGGGGGTGGGGGTGGAGGAATGGACTCAGTGATGGAAGCTGGGGTCCGAGGGCACTAAGCTTGGGGTGGGGGGCAGCCTGCTGGAGACAGATCAAGGCAGACAGACACAATGCCTCCACCCCGAGAAGGTCTGAGCAGGAGGAATGATGCCAGGCAGAGGCCTGGCACCCTCAGCAGGGCGCCTTCCCTTCCGCCCTCCCACCACACCCCCAGACTCACGGGCGCTGGGGCTGGGGCTCGGGGGGCCGGCCGACACTGATGCAGCAGGTCTTGGAGTGGGAGGCACCAGAAAGGTGAGCAGGCAGGGGGTGGCCCCGGGCGGGCCCAGGATGACTGGCCTCCCAGCCCTGCCTTGGCGCCCCCGGGGGCAGGGTGTGGGGGGCACTCCCCAGCCTGGCCCCGGCCCTTGGGTGTGTTGCCCACCTGCCACTGTCACGTCCCCAAGTCTCTCTTCTCTGTGCATCTGTATCCCCTCGCACCTCTGGGTCCATCTGTCTGTCTGCATCCTTTCCTGTTCCTGTGAATCTGCCTTTATCTTTCCCACTTTTCTATAATTCTGTGTGTGTGTGTGTGATTTTTCTTTCCGGTCCTTTCTCTCTCTTTGTCCAACCCTGTTTTTCCCTCCCAGTCTCTGCAAGCCTCCTGTAATTCTTCCCATCTTTCTTTGTGCCTGCCTCTCTCTCGTCTCTGCCTCCCTCCATCCCTGTCCTTCCATCTCTCCCCACATTCATGTCTAAATCCCTCTCAGTCCTCCTCCTCTCCCAGTCTGCCTGTGTCTCCGGTCTTTACTCCTCCCTTCCCACAGCCCCCAAGCCCAGGGGGGGCCCTGGCCCCTTTGTTCACCATTCCAAGGAGTGGGGTGGGGTGGGGGGACTCGGGCATCACACAGGTGGGGCTGCTGCCAGGCAAAGAAGCAGGCAGGAGGGTGGGGGAGGCAGGATGGGGCCTGTGGGATTCGAGGCCCAGGAAAGGGAAGTCCGCCCTGGGCTGGCATCCACCCCCCAGGGCTCCTCCAGGGCTTCACTTCCCTGCCCACCCTTCTCCCGGGGTCCTCGGGAGCCAGCTGTGGCCCTTACTCACTCTGTGACCTAGGTCCGATGACTTCCGGAATCTGAGCCAGCTCAGCTTCCTCCTCTGCAAAACTCAAGTGCCGATCCCTACTTCTGCGGGTTTGTTTATTATCACTTAGATCTCCCTCTGTCTTGCCCTCCTCTCTCCCCTAATGAGATGTGAAGCAAGACTAGGGGATAGGCTTGGGTTCTGACAGCAGCCAGCCTTGGCCCCAAATCTGGGCACTGCCTCTTCCTACCACAGTGACGTGGGATGAAGGACTCCACCCGGCTGAAGCTCAGTTTCTTCATCTGTGAGATGGGGGTGACAGCTCTGCCTCAGGGGGTTGGGATGGAGACTCCAGGAGAGCCGGGTACAGAAGGCAAGCATCCAGCAAAATGCTGCCATGGCTGTCCTGATCGCCCCTCACCCTCTCTCATCTCAGTGTCCCTTCCATTCATTGGGGAGAAGAAATTCTCTTTCCAACTCCTGGAGAGGTTATGAAGACAGACCCTAAGAGGTGGGCAGAACTATTTTAAAACCGAGGCTGGGTCCTCTTGCTTTCTAGGGCTACAGCCCCTCCTCCATCATCACAGACATCAAAACAGACCTGCACCCCACATTAAATATAACGCGTACTCAACTCCAGCTGAGACAATTTGTGATTGGCTCGTGGGAAGAATGTTATGTTTTATAGACGTTTAATTAAATGGTAGTGAATTTTGATCTTGCAGCTTTCATTTGGTATTTTGGAGCTGACAACCCTGTCCCCCACCACCCCCACCACACACACACGCACCGCCCCATGTCAGGTCCTTCATGGCCCTTTGAAAAGTTTATAAGCTCTAAACTTATAAGTTCCTGTTGCGGCAGATGGAGAAAAATGGCCTTAATTTCTAATGCAATTTTCTCTAGTGCATTCATGTGAGGCTCCTGAGGGAAAAGCCTTACCCTCTCGCATCTTTATTTCCACACCTGTGGGTAGGGTCACTGATGAGACCTCCCTCTAATCTCAACCAGCAGAGGGATTCAAATAGACACAGCCCCTCCTCCAGGTTTATTTATTCCAGTCACACACTTCCTTCTGCTTCAGCCGTGGGTCTTAGGAGGGCTGGCTGGAGTTGGGAGTTCTGCGAAGAAGATCCCCAGTTCAAGAAGAGTGGGAGCTAGAGGTGATGATGGAGACGGTGTTGGCGCTCTGCGGGTCACAGTGGCCCCCAAGCTGAGGTGTGACGATGCAGAGAGCAGGTCAGCTGCTCCCTATGACCGTCTGGATCCAGTCCACGTATTTGCAAATATTGGTGTAGACCCCTGGGATGCCTTCTTGTCCGCAAGGCCCCACGGACCCCCAGGACACCAGACCCTGAAGAACCCCTCCACACACCAGGGGCCCCCCGGAGTCACCCTGCAAGACAAGAGGTGAAGGAGCACGGTCTGAACATGGGGAAACCCTGTGCCAGTTTCCTCTCCACAGCCTCCTGCCCCCTCACCCATTTCTTGGGCCTTGAGGATGGTGGCTCCAAGCCTTGTCATCAGGGAAAACAAGAAGAGCCAGGTTCCCAGAGGACAACAGTGACTAAACAGAGAAGAACACATTGTCCTTAGGGGCCAATCCCAGGGAAGGAGGGCAAGCCTCTACGTCAGGTTAGAGGGTTCTCTCAAAGACAATAGCTGAGCCTTGACCAATGAGGAAAGAGAGTACAGGCACCGATGACCAATCCCAGTGGAGGAGGGCAGGACTCCATGCTGGTCAAGGAAAAGGGCTGGGGCCCTGACCAATGAGGGAAGAGGACACTGGTACCAGTGACCAATGGTAGAGAAAGAGAACTGGACATCTCAAGAGCCCTCTCCAACCATAGCTGGGGCTCTGACCAATGAGGGAAGAGAGCACAGGCATCAATGACCAATCCCAGTGGAGGAGGGCGGGACTCCATGCAGGCCAGTGACCAATGGTAGAGAAGGAGGACTGGACGTCTCAAGAGTCCTCTCCAGGACTCTGGCTGGGGCCCTGGCCAGTAGGCAGGGGCAGCCTTCAAGCTGGAGGACCAACAGGACAAGGTAGCCGAATTACAGGATGAGAGAGCCCTCCAGCCCCTCTCTCCTGGGCCAGCAGCAACGGGAGGATGGATGGAATGGGGAAGACTCAGGACTGGAGAGACACGCGGTCACCTGCCTGAGCTCCGAATGCCCGCTACCTTTCGCTCCCCCTCCTTTTGTGCCCCACCCCAAATCTCTCCTGCTCTGTACCTGCGCTCCCTCTCTCTGTCCTCCACTCCCTGGGCTCTCTCCCTGGCGCTTTCTGTGCCTCTCCTTCTTTCTGACCTCCTCTCTCTCCCCGTCTCCTCTCTCTGACTTGCCCGTTCTGCTCCCCCCACCCCACCCCGTTCTCCCGCCCCTCCCTCCCGTCCTGGGTGTTCCCTGCAAGTCGCTCACCTGGCAGGCATCCTCCCCAGCTTCGCCGCCAGCACACACCATGTTGTCTGTGATTCTCCCGGGGAACACTGCTCGGCAGGTGGCATTGGAGACGATGGAGAGGCTGAGGCACTGGAGTCGGTCTGGGAACGGGCCTGGAGATGGAAGATGGATGCTGGAGGATCCCCCAGTGCTTCCCTCATCCCGCCCCCCACAAAGAGGCCACATGGAAGCCCAATACAAGTTTATCCCCCACCCCCTCCCTGTGACCTCCAAGACAATCCTCGGGCCTTTACATTTCAGATGATGATTTGATTACATAGTGGCTCTTGATTTCAATCCATTGGCCCAGTCCCCCAGACCTTTAGCCTATGACTCAGATACAGTGACTCCAGACGTGACCTCCTCCTTCAGTCCCAGCTACTGTGACCTTTGACCTTCAATCTTTAAAAATAACCCTTTGAGCCCACCTTGGCCTCACGTCTTCTCTCTGTCTGTCTTCCTTGTCTTCAACTTAACCTCTGACCTCAGCTCTGCATCCTCTAAACCACTGGTTCCTACTCCAAAGTGGCCTCTGATCCTAGTTTACTTGACCCCAGACTCCATGACCTCTAACCCTTGGCTCCACACACCAGACACTATGGCTTCCAGTCCCAGACCGGTGACGCTTGATGGAATCCCAGTTTCCGTCCTCAGATTGCGGCCGACATCTGGGTCCCATGACCTCAACTCCACAGTGACTGACTCCACAGTGACTGACGCCACAGTCCATGACCCCAAGAGCCTATTATCTATGCCTTTCGCTCTAGCCTGATGACCCTTGACATCTGTCCGACCTCTAACCTCATCCCTGACCCATGACTTCCAACTCCATATTCAACCACTGAAACGCTTTGACTCCCAAGGCCCTTGATGCACCATATTCTCAGACCCCAGGGCATGATCCTGATGGGGGACTGTTTACCCATCCTTCCTCTGAGAAGGCAAGACCCTTGACCTCACACCCTATACCCCCAGCTCTGTCCCTCCTGACCTCTGACCCCGGGACCCCCTTACTCCATGGGTGGTTGGTGGTGCCCCAGCCCGAGATGTGGCATTCGGTGCCAGCTGTTGCACAGGTCGTGGGCAGGGGCAGGGGCTGGACGCTGGCAGTCAGCCGGACAGGGGTGCCCAGTCGCAGAAGCCGGAGGTCATTGTCATGGTTCCCCAGGTTGCCTCGGTAGCTGGGGTGGGTCACCGAGAGGCCGCTGCGTCGGATCTGTTCCGTCCAGTCCAGTTTGCTCAGGCTGTGTTCCCCCAGGCGCACCCAGTACCTGCTAGGGGGGTATGGCGGGTGGTGGGTGGGCTGTCCCGGGGCTCCCAGGCCCCCTGCCCCTCCCTACCGCTCCGCACCTTGATGGCTGTCCTCGCTCCTTCATTCCCTTGCTCTCACTGTCTGTCTCTTCCCATCTCTTGGTCTCTACTTCCATTGCCATCTCTGCTTCTCTAGCGTCCGTCCTGTCTCCCCTCTCCAAGCCACTGTGTCACTTTCTGACTCTGATTCTCTCAGCTGGTGATGCCCATGGGGCAGGGACATCAGTGAGTCCTGTTCACTGCCCTGTTCCCACCACCCAGCAGAAGGCTGGTCATCAACATTGTCAACTAACTGCAGGGGGAAATAAGGAGTAGATTCTGTTTGTCTTGCTGGTGTCCCTCCCTGTCCCCACATCTCTCTGTCTCTCCATCCACATCTGAGAGCATCAGACTTATCAAGCCCAATCCCCTCATTTTACAGATGGGACCAGTGAGGCCCAGAGAGGTACCAGATGTAGCCTTTGACGTTGCACAGAGAGTTTGGGTCAGACATTGGCCCGACGGCTCAGACTGGGCCAGGGGACGCTGGCCTGGTGACACACACCATGTGGGAAGGAAATGAGACGTGAGGGAATGTAGGGGCTGGGTGGGCAGGTTGCAAGACCCCTGCTCTCCACCCCACAGCTCCCCACGCAGGTCCACCCCAGGCCCACTGTGAGGAAGTCCTACTTCTTGTCTAACCTCAGGCTCTCTTGTTGCAGGACCATCTGCTTACTCCTGTGAGCCCCTCCCCTGCAGTCCTCCCCTCCCCACCACCCTCCCTTTGACCACCCTGAGTAGGGAGGCTCCCAGGTGGGGGCTTACCTGCCGCTGCAGTGAGCAGCCGTGAGAACCCACCTGCGGTCAATGAGGACCCCCCCACAGCGCAGACGGGTGCCCTCAAACAGCCCCACCTGCCAAGGCTGAGAGTGAGGGATGCACTCGGTGCCGTTAACGATCTTCTCTTTGGCTTCGTGGCTGAACCCTGAGGACAGGGTCACAGGGCAGAGGGATGGGGGTCAGAGGCTTAGAGACTGTGGATCAGATAGAAAGAGAAGTACAGAGCTCTGGTGCACACACGCCACAACTAGAAAGTCTGCGCGCCTCAATGAAGGATCCTGCATGACCACGAAGATCCCACGTGCTGCAACTAAGATCTGATGCAGCCAAATAATAAATAAATTTTTAAAAAAGAAAAAAAGAAAGAGGGACACAGAATGAGCAAGAAAAAGGCAAGAGAAAGAAACAAGAAACAGAGACGGCGGGAGAGGGGGCTCAAAGGCAGGAAGACAGACCGGTGATATACAGAGAGAGACACATGGAAACACCCAGAGACACAGAGAGGAAGAGAGAGGAGAGAGATGCTTCAAGAGAGAAACAGACATTCAGAGAGAGAAAGGATGGAGGCGTGGTGACAGGGAGAGACAGAGGGGAGATGGATTGGAGGATAGAGAGAGAGAGGCACAAGACCCCGGAAGAGGGAAGTGAATGGAGGCGTAGAGTCAGCCCGCCGCCCTCCCCTCCTCAGTGCTCGGCATTCTCATGAGGGAGGGACCCACCTTCCCTCTGGGAAACTCACCAACGAAACACAGGAGCAAAAAGATGCTGGCTCTCATGGTGGCCCACTTCCAGGTTCTGGGGGCACAAGATACAGCATCTCAGAGATGGCAAGTGGACCCTCCCACTCCCATCCCTTGCATCAGCAACTCCACGAGGAGGGGACGGTCCACACGCCCATCCTTCTCTGTGCCCATCCCCCCAAGGGTCACCCCGCCCCCACCGGTGTCTGCCTGCCTCCTCCTCACCTGGTCTCTCTGCCTGCCGGTTCCTCCAGGTGTCTGTTGCGATCAGCCTGTCTGTCTCTCTATCTCGTCTGCCCACCCACCGGCTTGTCCTTTCATCTGCCGGCTACCCTGCCGGTCCACGCTCCCGCTGTCCACCTGTCCCCCTCCTTCTGTCTGTCTGTCCCAGACCAGCGGCTGACACAGCTTTTAACTCTTCTTTGTCCCAGCCCTAGCGATTTTTCCGGGTTGAGGGAAGGGGACAAGGAAGTCGTGGGGTGGGGCTCCCTCTAATCCCGGGGAAACTCTTCTAGGCTAATAACACTTGACTGAGATTTACAGTTAAATGGACGGGGGAGGGGCCTGGATGACTCCAGAGGGAAGACCCAGCCCCTCTCCTTCTCCCCTCCTCTCCAGATCGGTCAGCAGCCCATGACTCATGGCCATCTGGGAGCCGAGTTCTAATCCCGACTCCAGTGACAAGCCTCAGGGAGGGTTGGGGTGGTGGATCCCTGGGACTTTTCCCCTGAGAGGTGCAGGGAAGGGGCGAGAGGGTGGAAATGAGAGTCGGGGAAACTGAGGACAGAGAGAGCCCGAGAAAGAAGAGGTGGAAAGGGAAGAGGTTTCAAAATAGGTGAGACAGAGGAATTTCCAAACTGGGATCCAAGGAAGTCTGGTTCTAATGGAAGTGTGCAAACAATTCTGTTCCCTGCTTTCAGAGCACAGGTCTTGTGATATCAGGTTGATTTATCTAATTCCATGAAAATTGTTTTGCATGGGGACTTCCACTGAGAAAGAAATGCAATAGGAAACAGAGGGAGAGAGAAAGAGATTTAAGGCAGAGTCCTTCTCTCTCATTCTTTCTGCCATCATCTTTTTTTTTTTTTTTGAAGTAAAATTCACATGACATAAAATCCAGTTTTGGGGGACTTCTCTGGTGGTCCAGTCCCCAATGCAGGGGACATGGGTTCAATCCCTGGTCAGGGAACTGAGATTCCACAATCTTCGGAAAAACTAAGCCCGCTATGAAAGATCCCACATGCTGGAACTAAGACCCAACATAGCCAAATAAATAAATAAATATTTTTTAAAAATCCAGCCTTTGAACCAGTTTAAAGTCTACCATGCAGTGAATTTTCCTGTACTCAGAATGTTTTGCAACCATCACCACCATCTAATTCCAGAATATTTTCATCACCCCCAAGAACACCCTCTACCTGTTAAGCTGATGCCTATCCACTGATGAATGGACCAATAAAATGTCTGTCCCTACTATGGGGTTTTTGGGTGTTAAGTCACTTCAATTATGTATGACTCTTAGTGACCCTATGGACTGTAGCCCACCAGGTTCCTCTGTTCATGGGATTCTCCAGGCAAGAATACTGGAGTGGGTTGCCCTGTCTCCCTCCAGGGCATCTTCCCCACCCAGGGATCGAACCTGTGTCTCTTACGTCTCCTGCATTGGCAGGCTGGTTAGCACCACTTGGGGAGCCCACTATAGGGTATATTCAACTATTAATATTAATTAACTAATTAATATAAAAGGAACAAGTATTGATATGTGCTATACATGGAGGAGGGCTTCCCTGTGGCTCAGTTGGTAAAGAATCTGCCTGCAATGAAGGAGACCCAGGTTAGATCCATGGGTGGGGAAAGATACCCTGAAGAAGGAAATAGCAACCCACTCCAGTATTCTTGCCTGGAAAATCCCATGGACAGAGGAGGCTGGCGGGCTACAGTCCATGGGGTTGCAAAGAGTTGGACACAACATAGCGGCTAAACCACCATCATATGTGGGTGAACCTTGATAACACTGTGGAGAGTGAAAGAAGTCAGTCACAAAGGACCACAAACCATACGATGATCTCATTTATATGAAATACCCAGAAAAGGCAAACTGATGGAGACTGAAAGTGGTTTAGTGGTTGCCTGGGGCTGCAGGGAGTGGGGATGGGGAGTGACCACTTGGTGGTTCTCTTTGACACACAGGCTTACAGCTTGTGGCTTCTGCATAAAGCCAATTCCTTTCTGAAGCTGGTAGCTCCAAGAGGACAGACCTCCTGCTTTCAAGAAAAGCACCAAGAGCCTTTGTCAACTCTCCCAGGGAGCCCCCCAGAGCTCTCAAGTCCTTGTTCCTAGTGCTTTCCTCTTGGGCATCACCATAAGCTCACTATGAAGTCCATTTATAGGGAGAACTCGGGCCTCCCAACACGGGGGTGACGTCCCCGAGCACGGAGACCATCATGGGTGAGGAAGCTGACAGCTGAAGGAAGCCAATTGCTCACAGTCACACAGCTGCTCTCAAGTCCTTGTTCCTAGTGCTTTCCTCTTGGGCATCACCATAAGCTCACTATGAAGTCCATTTATAGGGAGAACTCGGCCCTCCCAACACGGGGGTGACGTCCCCGAGCACGGAGACCATCATGGGTGAGGAAGCTGACAGCTGAAGGAAGCCAATTGCTCACAGTCACACAGCTGGGAAGAGGCAAAACTGGAGTCAGAAGCCAGGCAGACTGGCTCCAGAACTTGTATGGTTAATCACTTTCCAAGTATGTGAATGAACAAAAGAATGACTAATTGAAGGAATATACATGTGAATAGATGAATGTAGAAGTGTTGCTGTGGGTTTCAAAGAAATCGGGTGAGCGTTTGGAAAAGTACAAACTGGGTTGAAACCTCAGTTTGTCTCGTGGCTCCCTGGGGGCCATTGGGACACTCTCTTGTCCTGTCCTCTTGCCCATCAGAAAAATGGGTCTGGGAGGAAGGTAAATGTTTACCCACCACTTCCTCTTGGGGTCATCAAACAAGGCAACAAAAGATGAATGGGAAGGGAGAAAATAAATGAGGAGTTTGAGATTAATATGAACACACTACTATATATAAAATAGGAAGAAAAAAAACCAAGGTCCTACTGTATAGCCCAGGGAACTACACTTAGTATCTTGTAATAACCTATAATGGAAAAAGGAATCTGAAAAAGTATATATGAATATATATATATGAATCACTTTGCTGTATACTTGAAACTAACATAACAATGTAAATTACACTTCAAGAAAAAAAATAAAAACAGACAGAATAGATGGATAGGGGGACTTCCCTGGTGGTCCAATAGTTAAGAATCCGTCTGCCAATCCAGGGGACATGGGTTCGATCCCTTGTCCGGGAAGATCCCGGGCAGCCAAGCCTGTGTGCCATGACTACTGAAGCCTGCGGGCCCAAGAACCCAAGCTCTGCACCAGCAAGAGAAGCCTCCGCAATGAGAAGCCTGAGCTCTGCAACTGGACAGTATAACCCGGCTCGCTGCAACTAGAGAAAGCCCACACACAGCAACAAAAAAGACCCAGCACAGCCAACAATAAAGAAAAAATTTTCAAAAATCATGGATGGGGTACATGTATGCTAAATGCAGACATCAGTAAGATTGCCCCTATCCATTTATTTCTTTTTATAAAGAAGGGACTTTCAAAGCTGACAGATGACAGAATCTTTCTGCAGTCTTCAGTTTATCCTTACACCTCTGTCTCATTCTATTTCTGTCTCATTCATTCACTCAACAGGCATTTTGCGCTTGCCCTGTGTACCTACCTGATCCTCTGCTGGGTGATGCTGGGGTCACAGAGTTTAATCAGAACCCACAGCCCCACACCCCCTCCCAGGCATTGCCCTGTTTTTCTACCATCCTTCCCAGCAGAACTTCTCCATGGAGATCTACTCACTGTTTGCACCCCACAGCCACAGTCTTTCTTGGGTCTCCAGAGATTTCCATGTTGAGCAATCCAACGGTCACCTGTCTGTCCCTGTCTTACTCAAGCTTCGGGCAGCATTCAAAACACGGCCAGCCCTCCTCTGCCGGCTTCCTTCCGGGACACCGTGCATTTCTGGTTTCCCTCCTACTCCTGACTCTCCTTCCCAGCCTCCTTCATGAATAGGACCTTTTTCCTCCATCAGTGTCAGTACAAACAAGGGTGTTCCCAGGGCTCTGTCCTAGGCCGTGTCCTCTGCACCTGAGAGTGTACAGCTGACAGTTTCACCCATCACCTGGGGCAGCTTCGTTCTCAGGTTTCTCCCCAGCTTCATTCCTGAGCATCCGACAGCCCTCTGGACAATCTAAACCTACCTCGCCGTCTGTCCCTACCGACCTGTTCTCAGACCCCACACTCTCCACCTTTGTGGTTGGCTCCACCATCCACCCAATCCCCTGCCCAGGCTCTTCTCTCTGGAACCCAGCTTCTTTTCTTTCACTCTCTTTGCAGACCACCCCTTGTAGCAGTTTTTCTTTTTGCATTACAGAAAGAAGACTGGGGAACAGTACATAGAAGACAATGGGCTACAGGACTGCCAGACCCAATTACCACCGGATTACTGGGTTACCTGATGCCAGCTGATGACTGATTTTTGAAACAAGGCAAGAGGAAGAAGACAAGATCTTTTCACCTTTGTTCCCCATCACCTACCCCTGACTGTGAGCCCTCCTCTTACAGAATCCCCCAGATTCCTCACGGAAGGTGGGGGTGGGAGGACACAGTTCTTGAGGCACAAGCCTACTCATTCTCCCCTCCAGCAGCTGAGGATTAAAGCCACCTTTCTATTCCCTCTGAACTCTGTATTTTTCTTTTCGTCTTTTTGGCGGGGAGAGAAAGGGAAGATTTTGGCGCCATCATCCTCCCCAAGATGGCTTCGAACACTTACTCCTCTGCGTCTTTGAAACCTGGCTCCCGAGGTCCGGTCCTCTGCAGGCTTCGCCCTTGGCCGTGCCCCCAGCCCATCTCCCTCTGTGTCCCCCAGGAGCTCTGCGTCCTACCCCTAGGTTATCTCAAGGAGACCCCGCCACCTACTGATTAACTAGGCTGAATCCAGACACTGTCCTCCTTCTTACCCCTCCTCACACTGTTCCTCTTGTCTCCGATTCTCTCAAGCCCTAACTTGGCCCCAACTGGCCTCGTTCCCTCCTCCTAGACCCTCACCCAAGTCATCTACCTGGATTCTCAGCCTCTGACTGCCCCTCCCCACTAGTCCACCACTCAGAAAGCCCCAGAGGGATCTTTCTACATCTAGAGCCTTCTCTGGTCCAGCTCACACCCCTCCCGTGGGTCCCTGGTATGCATTTGATTTTCCTCCTGGATTCTGGTCACAGATGTTTTAAAATTTTTTGGAATCTCTCAAGTGGTAGGGGAAGGAGGCCGAGTGGTGAAGAGCTGATGCTTTCGAACTGTGGTATTGGAGAAGACTCTTGAGAGTCCCTTGGACCATAAGGAGATCAAACCAGTCAATCCTAAAGGAAATCAACCCTGACTATTCATTGGAAGGACTGATGCTGAAGCTGAAGCTCCAGTACTTTGGTCACCTGATGTGACAAGCCGATTCGTTGAGAAAGACCCTGATGCTGGGAAAGATTGGGGGCAGGAGGAGAAGGGGGCAGCAGAGGACGAGATGGTTGGACAGCATCACCGACTCAATGGACATGAGTCTGAGCAAACTCCAGGGGACAGTGAAGAGAAGGGAAGCCTGCCGTGCTGCTGTCCACGGGTCACAAAGAATTGGATACAACTTTTAGCGACTAAACAGCAACATACGTAGAAAAGCACAAAATTCACTAACTGGAGATGTTTGTTTTCTTTATTTAACAATCATCTCTTGATGTTCCAACTACCTGGTTTTTGTTGCAAAAACTCCTGTGTATCCTGGTGCCTCCCTTATTTCTTGGAAAGTTCCCTGGAGCTCTCTGAGAGGCTGTCTCCCAGGCTCAAGTCCTCAGCATGTCTGTCAAATAAAACATAATTCTCAGCTTTAAGGTTGTGCATTTTTTTCAGTCGACAAGGTGGTGGCCCTATCAAGGCTCCCACTCACAGTGCCAACTGTGGTCACCCCTCAGAGGTGGAAGTGACCCTTTGTCGCATGTGTGGCATCATGAATCATGACATCTGAACCAACCCTTGGATGAGGAAGTCCATCCTATTTCTGTGGGAGTCACTACATTATTCTTCATTATCCCTTCCTCCTGGGCTTCCCAGGTGGCGCTAGTGGAAAAGAACCCCACCTGCCAATGCAGGTGATGTAAGAGACTCAGGTTCAATCCCTGGGTCAGAAAGATCTCCTGGAGGAGGGAATGCAACCCACTCCAGTATTCTTGCCTGGAGAATCCTCAGGGACAGAGGAGCCTGGTGGACTACGGTCCACAGGGTCGCAATGAGTCAGACACAACTGAAGTGACTTAGCACGCATGCGTGCATCCCTTCCTCCAAAAAGCCCGACTTGAGTTTCCAACCTCCTCAATCCGCTCACAACCCATCTGCTTCTTTCATCTTAACATTGAATTTGTTAGGATGAAATTGTGGGCTCATATGCCCATTGCTCCCATTCACCTGGTAAGTCCAGCCTAGTCCCTTAAACAAGGCCTCACATAGACTTCCCTGTTGGTCCAGTGGTTCAGAATCTGCCTGCCAACACAGTGCACACGAGCTCAGTCCCCGGTCTGGGAAGATCACACATGTGACGGGGCAGCTAAGCCCAAGCACCATAACTCCTGAAGCCTGTGCATCCTTGCACCTGTGGCCAGCAACAAGAGAAGCCACCGCAGGGAGAAGCCCGTGCACCACAGCCAGAGAGTAGCCCCTCCACTCAGCACAGCTAGAGACAAGCCTGTGCAGCAATGAAGACCAGGTACAACCAAACAGTTAATTAATTTAGCAAAAAGTGAAACCAAACAGGTCCTCGCAAATGGGGCAGTGGCTCAGCTCGGTTTGGACTGGCGTCCTTCCAGACTTGTGGGGGTCGNATAATACTCGTGACAGCTGCCACTTAGGGAGCTTCACTCAGTACTGGCTGTTCTTTGAGTGCTTTCACGTATGAAATCAATCCTCTCAAGAGTCCTCTGAAGTAGGTGATGTTCTCTTTACCTTTATTAATACACTGAGATGGTTCTTCATCCTCAGATCGGGAGAAGTGAACTCACTGGTGGCACATTATTGTTCATGATCAGTACAAGCCTCTACTTTTGTTTTCCTTCTTTATTTCCTTTCGCCCTCATTTCCTTCCGCTGCTACCTTTATTATTGTATATCTTTTCCTAGCGTTTCTGTCACTGCATATCCTCTATGATCACTTTCATTATTGTGTATCCTTGCTAGTGCGGGCTTCCCCCCATGGCTCAACGGTAAAGAATCTGCCTGCCAATGCGAAGACACATCAGCCGTGGGTTCGATCCCTGGGTCAGGAAGATCTCCTGGGAAAGGAAATGGCAACTCACTCCTATTCTTGCCTGGGAAATTCCATGGACAGAGGAGCCTCTGGCTACAATCCATGGGGTCACAAATCGTCGGACATGGCTGAGTGACTGAACAACAATCTCGATTTGCAGTTAGTTAGTTTGTGTTGTTTATTTCCTGTGAAGCCAGAGAGGGCAGAGTTTATGGCTGCTTGCTTATCCGATATACAGTTTGAAACCAAAACTCCTGGCCTTTCCCTGAAAAACTGTTCCTTCAGCTTCCTCCCATTTTAATAAATGGCAGCTCCATCCTTCTGCTTGCTCAGGCCAGAGTCTTGGAGTCATCCTCGACCCTCCTCTTTTTCTTTTTAATGTTGAACATTAAAAAAATTTTATTTTATTTTATATCGGAGTTTAGTTGATTTACAATGTTGAGAGAGTTTCTGGTGTACAGTTAAACATATACATAGATCCATTCTTTTTCAGATTCTTTTCCCATATAGGTCATTACAGAGTACTGAGTGGACTTCCCTGTGCTATACAGTAGGTCCTTGTTGATTATCTACTTTATATAGAGTAGTGTGTTTACGTCAATCCCAAGCTCCTAATTTATTCCTCCAGCCCCCTCGATCCTCCTCTTTTTCTCACGTTCTCCGGCTGAAATCAACAGACACTGTAACAATCCATTCAAACAAATCTAATATCTGACCTCTGAACTCCTCCGAGGATATCATTCTGGTCCAAGCACCATCACCTCTCACCTGGGCCATTGCAGTCATTCCACACCAACCTTTGCACCTTCTTCTCTAATCTAATACACCAGGTGGGCTCCTGCCTCATGGCCTTTGCTTTTGTTATACTTTCCACTTAGGCATTTAACCACTGCACTTGAGGGTCATAGACAAAGATGTAACAGCACGGGGTACTGAACAAGGATTGTGAGCAACAGAACAGAAGATCTGGTGGACAATAGCCGCCAGGAGACCAAACCAGTCGATCCTCAAGGAAATCAACCCTGCATATTCACTGGAAGGACTGATGCTGAAGCTGAAGCCCCAGTACTCTGGCCACCTGATTCAAAGAGCCCGACTCATTGGAAAAGACCCTGATGTTGGGAAAGATTGAAGGCAAGAGGAGAAGGGGGCAGGCAGAGGATGAGATGGTTGGATGGCATCACTGACTCAATGGACATGAATCTAAGCAAATTCCAGGAGACAGTGAAGGACAGAGGAGTCTAGTGTGCTGCGGTCCATGGGATCACAAAGAGTCGGACATGACTTAGCAAGTGAACAACAACAGCAGCAAAAGAGCATGGAGGCCGCTTGGAACAGTCAACCCCAGCACCCTAGAGTTTAGAGCACTGTTGATATTGAATGGGCATGGGGGTTCAGAAACAGGGAATACTGGCAGAAATGGAAAGCAGGTAGAAATGGGACAATTGGGGAGACCCACAAATGTCTCCAGAATTTCCCCAGGTTCGTTTGAATGAATGAACCAGCATGTGGCTCCAACGTTAGCTGTGATGAATCAGAGGTGCACATTAATGTTGTCAGGGCAGAAGATGCTGCAGACAAGAGAATATAGGAAGAAATGTCTTGGGAGTCTAGAACCCTCTTGAGTACAAAACATAGAAGGATCTAGAATACTGGCAGTGAATAAATACTTGAAGGCGTATAGGATGTTGTCAAGGAAGTTCCGTTCATAGAACATGGATGAGATCGTTGGATGAGATCACATGGATGAGATCACAGAATATCGTTGAGATGGGCAGACGGAGGCATTCAAGTGTTCCACAGATTGCACATTCAGACGATGATCTAGGTTTATGTTGAAACAGCTGGGAGATCTGGCACGTTGTCTTCATTGGGACGTCCAGGGACTGGGATGTTTCAGTAATGCAACGTCTGGGAGAGCGTGATGCTGAAAATGATTGAATGCTTCTGAAATATGCAGTGTCAGCTGGGATCGGATGTTTGGAGAACATGGGTTGCTAGTGCAACTAGAACACTTTGGGAGGGACAGAGAAGAGCTGGGCAAACCGAGTCAGGGGGCAGGAAAGCCAGCCCGACTTTTATTGCGGGCCCTTCATCCATTCCTGCTACCAGGCTTTCCGTTTCCGGATTGTTTCTTGGATCCATGGAACATACTGAGAAACTCGGGTGTAGACACCAGGCCGGTTGGGCTGCCCACACGGAAAGTCTCCCCAGGAGATGATGCCGTGAAGTGTTCCGTTACAGACCAGGGGACCCCCGGAGTCACCCTAAGTGGGAGAGAGAGAGAGGCGGGGTGTCCTAAACCAAGGCAGAGACACACACAGAGGCAGAGATAGAGGGAGACAGGGATACGGAGAGAGGGTGAGAGAGAGAAAGAGAGATAAGCAGACAAACACAGACAGACAGACAGACAGACATTTCTGTGTCTCTCCCTGGTTTTCTGTTCTTCAGTTCCATTAAAACGGTGGTGGCTTACCTCACACCCCTGTTCTTGGTTCTCAAGCCCCAAATCTCACCTTCTACCCTGCCCCACCTCTCAACCCTGCTTCGGCTTTATGGTTCCTTGGTATCATCTTACTATTGAGTTAATCCAGCCGTATTCCTGGTAGGGTACGCAATACACCCGAAACGCCTCTTCTCCCTCTGGGCCCAGGGCAGAATTTACTGATTGATAAGGCTCATATTACTAGTTCATTATCATACCCTTTCCCACGAAACCAAAACTCAATCTTAAGAAGCTCCCCTGTCTTGGGTATAGGGTTTTTGTTTGTTTGTTTGTTTGTTTTGCCTGTGTAGTACCCATTTCCCCTTATTTTGATGACAGCCTCCTGATTTTTTCATTTGGAGAATGCCTTCTCTTCTACTCCCAATGCATACAACTTGTCCATGCCTCTGTCTGCCCTCTCTGTCTGCCCCAAGCTAGTCACACGACTCAGACTTGGCCCATCAGAGAACCCCACAGCTCTGGCTCAGGACACAATGCAGCTGACCCTTGGATGGCACAAGGGTTAAGGGCACAGACTCTCTGCACAGTAAAACTCCCCCTATAACTTGTAATTAGCCCTCTATATATGCTGTTCCTCAGTGTCTGAGGTTCTGCACCTGCAGATTCAATCAGCCTTGAACCGTGTATTTGCTGTAGTACTTACTACTGAAATAAACTCCATGTATAAGTGAACCCATGCAATCCCAACCCGTGTTGTTCAACAGTCAGATATCCTGTCAGCCTAGTGAGAGAATCATGCTCAGTGTTTATGTACACAGCTGGAAAAGAGATCAAAGATGGTTCCTTACAGGGTAAGATTTAAGACCAAAGCTGCTGGGGCCAACATGCTATGGCATGGGGAAAGTTTAACTGAGAATGAAACCAAAACAGAAGAGCTGAAAGTTAAAGAGAGACAGACTCTTAAACATCATGTGGGCACCTGGATCCACCCATGCCTGAAACAAGACATCCTGGACTTTTCAGTCACAAAAGCCAGGGTTTCGCTTAAGCTGGCTTATGCTAGGTTTCCATCACTCTCAACCAAAGGAGTCCCAACATTGATATACCTCAATACAGGGATCTGGGCAGCCACTGTCAAAGCCCAAGCTTAAGATGAATTCTGCTTGCCAGCCAGGGGTACCCTCTTTTTATCCTGACCCCCTTGTGGCTCAGCTGGTAAAGAATCCGCCTGCAATGTGGGAGACCTGGGTTCGATCCCTGGGTTGGGAAGATCTCCTGGAGAAGGGAAAGGCTACACACTCCATTATCCNGGAAGAGACCAGTGGAGAGCCAGGGACGCTGAGGGGGTGCAGAAGGCTCTTGCTGCTGTAGAGCTCAACGTATAGTCATATGCATATATATTTATATCCAACAGATGTATTTATTCATGCTTTATTACACTTAATAACCAATATATTAAATTTAGTTTCTAAATTATAAATGATACATCTATATTTAAATACATCTTTATGCATAATATATGTTATTTGTATACAATGTATTTAAATAAATATATCATTTATAGCTTAGGAAATAAATCTAATTTCTATAATATACATATTTATATACAGATGTTTTACTATGTATATCCGTATAAATATAATATGTACATATACTATATATTATATATTTGTATATACTTATAAGTTTATATATATAAAGGAAACATAATTTTATATATGGTATATAACATATGTAATTATAGCTCTGTATTCATAAATTATGCATATTTATATATATAACTAATCATTTACATGATATGACATATTATATATAGCTATATATATTAATACATTTAGATTTATGTATTCTTTATAAATATGGACTATAAATATAACTATATATACTTACACATTTATATTTATACATACTTTATAAATATAACTTTACATATATTTAAGTATTCTTTATATAGAATATAAATATAACCTTATATATACAATTATATTTACATATTCTTTATAAATATAGAATATAAATATAACTTGATATATATTCACACACTTGCATATTCTTTATAAATATACATTTATGTTTTTATATATTTATATATTCTGTAAAGGATATATAAAACTATACATTATATATACCATTATATAACTTCATATTTATACTTTTACATATTTACACTTCTATATTTACATGAGGGATAGATATACCTTTATATATCACTATGTGATTCATGACTCATCCCATGTCTAGTAAACCTAGTTTTGTCTGTAGAGACTCCTGCTCCGACCAGCCCTCCCGTCTCGCCCGCGTCTCCCCGCCGCCGTGCGGGCGCGTACCCTGGGGGCTGGTGGTGGTACCCCAGCCAGACACACGGCAGCAGGTGCCGGGCGGCAGGCAGCGCTGCCGAGAGAGCGGCAGGGTCTGGATGTGCCTGGTGAGCTGCACAGCAGACTTCAGCTCCAGAAGCATGATGTCGTGGTCATGGTTCAGGTGGGTGGGGCTGCTCTGGTACCGAGGGTGGGGGATAGCTCGGGCCACCTCCCTCACCTGTTCGCCAGCCTCCACGCGTGCCAGGACGTGCTTGCCCAGGTACACTCTGTACCCTCTGCGGGTGCAAGAAGCAGGTGGTCACAAGGGTCCAGGAGCTCGTCTCCAGTCGCGTCCCCAGTCTCACCCTTCCCCGGCCCGTGGCCTTATTTTCAAAGGTGTCTGCTTCCACACCCTCAACTCCAGTTTCCTCCAAAGCCTCTGCTGGGACCCCCTTTCCACACCCCCATGTCTCCACCAAGCCTCGCGCTCACCCCATGCCCATCACAACCCAACTCCAACCTCATCCTCAAATTCAGCTCCACCGACGCACAACCTCACTCACAGTCTCACCCCACCCCTTGCTCCCCCGGGCCCCACATACTCCTTTAGACAGTGCGCTGCGGTGAGGACCCATCTGGGGTGCACCAGGACTCCCCCGCAGAGCAGCCGACCTTGCACCTGTAGGGCTGCCTGCCAGGGCTGAGAGTGGGGGGTACAGGTGTAGCCGCCAGGAAGGAACCCGTTGGTCCCATTGGTGCCATTGAGAATCTTGGGGTGCTCCCGAGAGATGCCTGGTGGAGGGGAGAACATGTTAGAGAATTGGGGCTCACAGGGAAAGAAGGCTGGGCGTTATGGTTCTTGGGCTTGGGGAGCGAGTCAAAATTTTGCTTTGGGTGGCCAGGAGCTGATGATTCATTTGTCGGTCTCTGGGAGTTGCCATTTTCTATGTAGTGGAGTTGAGCCAGGGCGAAGAGGTTGATGTCCCTTTTTTCGAGAAGCGCCAAACCCTCCACTGGAGGTTAAAAGAAGGGTTTGGGGAATGAGGAAGCTTCTGATACGTAAGCAGAAGCCTGACTTCTTCCCACCTGAATTTTCTCTCTTGGTCAACCATAGGGATTGATTTCCAGGAGTAGAGGTGAGCCTACCCTACCTATCTCCTTAAGCAGTATCCATCCATCCATTCCTCCATCCTTTCTAACACTTTTACTGAGTGCCTTCATGGCCTTAAATACCATTCATAACCTTTGTGAAGGGAACTCTCCTGGTGGCTTGGATGGTAAAGAATCTGCCTGCAATGCAGGAGACCCAGGTTGGAAGCATAGCAGTCCACACAGACAAAGAAGGTCTAACCCGGGGCTTCCCTGGTGGTCCAGTGGTTAAGAATCCACCTGTCAATGCAGGGGACACAGGTTCGATCCCCGGTCCTGGAAGACCCCACATGCTGAGGGGTAACTAAGCCCATGCATTGCAACCACTGAAGCCCGCATGCTCTAGAGTCCCTGCAACGAGAGCAGCCAACACATGGAGAAGGCTGAGCACCACAAGGAAACGTAGCCCTGCTCGCCACCGCTGGGGAAAGCCCCAGTGCACCAACCAAGACCCAGTGCAGTCAAAACAAGTACAATAAGCTAGGAAATTAAAAAAAAAAAAAAGGACGTCTAATCCTGAATGTGCCACTTCCTGGCTGGGTACAAGTCTCAGCTTTCTCTCCTGTAAAGGAGGGGAAGTTATAGATCGTCTCTCATCGGACAGTCGTAGGTTCCATAAGATCCTACATTCAAGACACACACAGGACCTGCTGTGGAGCAAGCACTCAGGAAGCGGGGAGTGTTTTAATTGCATCCTCAGAAACTGAGTCATCATCACTTCTCTTTCAAACCTGATTTTGCCAGGAGAAAGTTTTCATGATGGTGCTCATAGCCTTTTAACATCTCTCTTGTCTTGCTGAGCTCACCTTTTCAAACCAGGAGGAAGCGGAAGGTTGCCTTCGGCTGGCAACCCCAAAATTAAGTAGAATCAGCTGCCTTTCCTATTATGGGGGAGGTCAGAAACGGAAATTGCCTATCATTGAGGGAGGTCAAAAAGGTAAACTGCCTATCATCAACAGGCAATTCAATAAACATTATAATTGAAAACAATATTGGTCCAATTCAATAGATACTATTTTTGTTTATTGTGCGGAACTGATATTTTTTCCATTGTTGTCCTTCAGTCTCTAGGCCCTGTCTGACTCTTTGTGACCCCCATGGACTGCAGCATGCCAAGCTTCCCTGTCTTTCACGATCTCCCGGAGTTTGCTCAGATTCGTGTTCACCGAGTCAGCGATGCCATCCAAACATCTCATATTCTGTTGCCCTGTCCTTTACCTTCATTTATAGCAAAGGATGCTGTTTTCCACTTAGAATAGTGATTAACTTCAAATATGCGCTAAGAAAAAAAAGTTGCCTCTATGAAGACCATTAGGTTGAAAATAATAAAGATGGTTTGTGCTAAGTCCCTTTAGTCGTGTCTAACTCTCTTGTGACCCTGTGGACGGTAGCTCGACAGGCTCCTCTGTCCATGGGATTCTCTGGCTGGGGTTGCCATTCTCTACTCCAGAGATGGTTTGCCAGAGCATAAAGTCCAGGGTGTGGAGGCCAGAGCGGGCAACATGGATTAAGGTCCTGACTCAGGCACTGCTGCTGACTTTGGGGCAGGACCCTGCTGTCTGAGCATCTTGGGCTTTTCAGCGGTGAAACTGGAGTAATTCCAGCGCAGCTGCCTCACCAGGCTGCTAAGGGCTCCGTAAGACCTGCCTGCAGAGCTCCTAGCTCTGGGGCGTGGCACCCAGGAGGGCATACGGGAGTCCTAGGGGTGTCACCCCAAGAGAGAAGCTACCCTGCCTTCAGCCCAAGAGTGGTGATGGGTGCCCAAAGAGCCCCCTCCTTTGGGTCCCAGCTCAGGCGTCAAGTCCTTTGGGGGCCCCGGTTCTAGGCCAGGAACTACCATTACATCTCTGGGCTTCCAGGTTGGCTCCGTGAAGCCATCACAGTTCTAACCATTAGGGGAACTGTCTGAACGGCAAACATCCCCACTAGGCTCTGGGTGCTGAGCACAGGAACTGTGTCTACGTGTACCGCACCCAGCACACTGCCTGCTGCTCGGCTGTCTGTTGAATGAAGGGATGAATGCGGTTTCCCCCTTGCCTGGCGAGGCAGGGCAAGGGGACTCAAATGTGAGGAAGAGGAATCTCTGGGGACCAGCTTTTCATGGAACCAAGGTTGGGGGTCTCCTCCCTGGTGACTCAGGTGGGAAAGAATCTGCCTGTCCGTTAGAAGATGCAAGAGATGTCGGTTAGATCCCTGGGTCAGGAAGATTCCTCTGGAGAAGGGAATGGTAACCGACTCCAGTGTTCTTGCCTGGAGAAATCCCATGGAGAGAGGAGCCTGGCAGGCTACAGTCCATGAGGTTGCAGAGAGTTGGACATGACTGAGCAACTAACACTGTAATGATTATTAAGGGCTAAAGAACAATCTAGAAGGTTCTGGAAGGACCTGAGAATAGACAGAATACTACCAATAAAGCAGTGTGTGTGTATGCAGTCACACGCATGCTCACTCACTCATCCCACCGTGACCCCAGGGACTGTAGCCCGCCAGGCCGCTCTGTCCATGAGGATTCTCCAGGCAAGAACACTGGAGTGGGTTGCCATGCCCTTCTCCAGGGGATCTTCCCCACCAAGGGATGGACCCCTTGTCTCCTGCATTGGCAGGTGAAAGAATTCTTTACCACGACGGCCACCCGGAAGCCAATAAAGCAGTGATAACGACTAACTTTCCAGTCCCTTTTATCTTCCAATATTCGCAGCCACCCTTTGTGGTAATGTTTTCATGTTACAGATGAAAGAAAGAAGCTAAGATACTGGCTCAGTGAGGCTGCGTCGGGATTTGAACCCCTGTCTTTCTCTTCTAACTCTTGAACTTGCGAAGGTCTTGGGGGTGGACTTTCCGGTACAGAGTAGGACAGTCAGTAAGAGGGCTGGTGTGCAAGGTCTGGAAGGCTTAACAATAGGGCAAGCCCATCTGAACCGGGATACCCCAGGGAGAGGTCTGGGGTGGGTGGGGAGCCTGGACTGACCCCAGCTGGGTCACCAGGTCACGCAGGGACAAGCAGGAAGCACGCCCTAGGGACCCGCCTCCCCACAGGGGGCTGGGGGCGGAGCCTGCGGCTCCCCGCCCCTCCCACCTCCTACCTCTGTTTGCAGCGGCCACCCCGCCTCCGCCCCCGCGCATTGCATTCTTACCTCCTGACCAGGCCACCGTCAGGAAAGAGATCGCGGCGGCCAGGGGCCACATGGTGACTTTGTGGTGGGGGCAGGGAGGGCGGGGCCTGAGAAGTTGAAAGTGGGTAAGAGCGGGCCAGAACCCCTCATCTCTGGATACTCCCTGCCCTCTGGATACTCCCTGCCCGCTCTGCTCTGCGGGCTTCCCAGTCTTGAGTGTCCTCTCCTTTACTCTGAAAACCTTGACCCTGGAATCTGCACCGACCCCCCATCTCCCAGTTCCATTCTTGGTGTGTGTGTGGAGGGGTGGGGGTCCCGGTAACGCGATGGGAGGGGCAGCTTGCACATCCCTCCCCGGGGCTGCAGCTCTCTCGCCGCCCTTCACCCCGGATGGCCCGTCCCTCCACCCCAGCCCTCCAGCCAGCAGGGTCCTTGGTGCACTCTCCTGCCCCTCTCTACCGTCTGCAGGCGCCTTCTCCCCTCTCCGACGCCTGGTCTAAAACTGAGCATCTTATCTTTCCGCTGCTTCACCTCTCAAACCTCTGCAGATTTCGGCCTGGAACCTTGCCTCTGGCCTCCGTCTCCCTCTCCCTGACTCAGCTGCCTCCCGCTCTCTCCGACCCTCCCCCCTCCCAGTGCTCCTGCCCCTGCCTTAGGCGGACCCTACCTGGGTCGGCCCCGGGTGACTTCTGCTGCCAGCTGCCTCCAACTTCAGCCTCGACCCATGGCTTTTAACCCCTGAACTCCCTCCCCCAGCGCCTTCAGCGTTTCCCTGTTGCTGGCCTTCCCTTCTCCACCCCCAGTGGCTCAGCAGTCTGTCGCCGGCTCCCCCAGCCTGGGCTTGGCCCTTCTCAGCGGGGCGGAGCTCCCAGGACAAGCTAGGACCCAGATCTGGTTCCGCCCAAGTTGAACCCGCTGTGAACTTTCAGGCAGCAGGACCCATCTGGGAGGGGGGGGAAGAGCCCAGTTCCTTCCCCAGGTCCACCTTAAATCCCCCGGGGTCCTAGAGAGGACACCAACCCATTTTTCCATCCCACTTTCTTATCTCCCCTCCAACCTTGTCTGACTCTTTGTGATCCCATGGACAGTAACCTGGGTTCCTCTGTGCCACTGGACCACCAAGAAGGTCCCTCCCACCCAACCCTACCCGTATTCTTAATTTACATCAGTTCCCAGCCATTTTCCATCCTCTTCCCACCTCCCTACCTAATTTTGACCATTCTCCACACTTAACATCAGCCCGTCCCTCAGGCCCACTCCCGTCCACAGCCATTCTCAAGTTTAATTCTCCACGTCAAACTCAACACTAAGTTCCAGTTCTCAGCCTCATCTCCAGCTCCAACTCCATCTCCAGCCCCTTTCCTTCTGGAAAACGACAGGGATGCCGAAATTTACCCTACCATGCCCCTCTCTCCAAATCACACACAAGAAGGGGATCTTCAGATGGGTCAATTTAGAAAGTCAATTTAGATTGGATGTGGGCAGGGGTTGGATCTGGGAAAGCAACATTTTGGATAAACGTGGCCTTTTAGGAGTAGGGATGAGGCAGTCCACGGGAGCGTAGGTGGGGACGAAGAAGCAGGAATCAGAGTTCTCCGGTGTCTGGGGGCCGGATGAGCGGGAAGAGGAAGGAGGAAGGGAAGGTGTTTTAGGTGTTTGAGGAATGAGAAGGCGTCTCCTGGAACTGGGCCTGGGTGGATTCTGTGAGCTAATCCCAGGGGGTGGAGGAGGCAGGATTAGGGATTAGACAGGATTGAGGTGGGGTCAGAATTTGAAAGAAAGCCAGGGATGAGGATCAGATGAAGTCTGGAAAGAGAGACAGCAGTGGTGTCATGCGGATTAGGAACTGAGATGGAAGGAGTAAACCTTCATCTCAAAACTGGTGTGACCCATATTGAGAGATTAAAGTTTTGCATTTAAGGGTCAAATCTAGTGTTAAAAGATTTTTTTTTTAAAACAGAGGATCTAATCATGACACTCCTGCATCTATAAAATGAACATATGTCAAAGATGTTATTTGGATTCATTAATATGTGATGGAGCTAGCAAGCTGTTACAAAGAACCACATGCATCTAGGCAATAAGTGCTGAAAGGAACTAACAAATAGATGCAAAAGTGGCTTATTCTGTGTTGTTGTTGTCTAGTTGCTAAGTTGTGTTCAACTTTCTGCCACCCTATGGACCATAGCCCGCCAGGCCCGTCTGTCCACGGGCTCTCCCAGGCAAGAATACTGGAGTGGGTTGCCATTTCCTTCTCCAGGGGATCTTCCTGACCCAGGGATGGAACTCGCATCTCCTGCATTGGCAGGCAGATTCTTCACCTTTGAGCCACCTGGGAAGCCCTATTCTATATGGAGGGAAGGGAATTGTACTTCCACCTGACAGAAGTCATTCCACTTGGTTATGGATGAGAATTATTTGCACTGCTATCAACTGCTTATCATTCACAGGATGGTAAAGTAGCTCAGACAGTAAAAGAAGTTGAGACCCCATCCAATCATAACTCATCTAGTGTTTCATTCATGGTATCGATGGGTCCATCTTAAAGCATTTCACAAATTTTCCTACACTAGGAAGAAAAGTTTGTGGTCAGGTTTAGGATGGTAGGGGGTGTAGTTGGGGACGGGGCTGGGGGGCTCTGATGATAGCAGGCGAATTTGGGGAAGAGAATGGACCTGGGGTGAGGGTGGGGTTGGAGTTGGTTTGGGGGATAGGATTGAGTTGTAGATGGGAGGGATCTGGGAATAATGTTGATGGTGTCCAGTTGGCTTGGGGCTGGAGATGATGCCAAAACTGAGTGTTTGGATGTGGAGGCGTTGAAATACGGTTGAGGTGGTGTTATGCGTTGACAATGAGCACTAGACGTGTCTGTGTTGGGATCAGGTTTTGGTGGGAGTGGGCTGGGTCATAGCTGGGAATGCCTCTCAAGGTGACAGAGAGGTCACTGTCCTTCCCCACCTTGGAATTAGCCCACCTCCCAGGACTGGGCACAGAGTAGAGACTGAGTTCAAGTTCAGCAACCCTCCCCCGCCTTTTTTTTGTTGTTCCACTGGGATCTTAAGTTCCCTGACCAGGGATCCAACCTGTGTCCCCTGCATTGGAAGCGCAGAGTCTTAACCACTGGACCACAGGGAAGTCGCCGGGTTCATTCTTTTTCCATCAGTCTGGGTTCAGAGTGAGTGCCAGGAGGGCAGATGTGGGGTGAAGTGAGGTGACAGGCTTGCGTGGGAAGTCGGGGTACCTGTGCCCTCTGGTGGCCTGGGTTCACATTTCCAGAAAAAGCCTCTCTCACTTGGGAAGGGCTGGAACTTGGAGTGGGGGTGGCTGGTTTTGGTATTTGCTGAGGGGTGAGTACCAGGTCAACACTGACATTAGGACTTATGACTGGCTGGCTCTTGCTGAAGTGAGGTCATGGACCCCGCTAAGGACTAGGAGTATTCCACACCCTCTCCCTGGATGAACCGGAGCCCGTGGACGGCAGTGAGCTGCTGAAAGGCATGTACCAATTAGACTGAATCCAGGGGGGTCTCATGGATCAGGGTCTGTTCCCCCCTCACAGAGAAGGGCTAGAGAACGAAAGGGAAAGGACTAGAAAAAGAGACAGTGTTCCTAGTGGTTCAGAGCTGAGTTCAAGTGGCTCGGCCACTCTGTGACTCAGGGTCCCATTTGTAAAATGGTGCTCTCAGTAGCACCTCCCTCATAGAGAAGGAGTAAATGAGTTAACGTTTGAAGATGCTTAGACCAGAGTGTGACATGAACCAAAGGCCACAAACGTGACTTGTTATATAAGTAAAGCTGGTGATGGAGGCAACCCAAGGTTCCTGGGGTGGGGGAGGGGGGGGTGCCCCACCCTAGCTTGGCTTCAAAATGGGATTCTTTGTCAAGCAGGAACTGGAAGTTCTGGTTGGAAGTGCTGGCTGGGGCGAGAAAGTTGGCCCCACACCCAGGCCTGGAGCAGAGGCCCTGGTGCAAATACTAAGGGAAGAGGAGACAGACAAGGACACGGGGAATACACAGAGATAGAAAAACAAGGGGGATGGGAGAGGGCAGGCAGAGGAAATGCAAGGAGAGACAAAAAAAAAAAAAGGGCAAGACATTTAAGAGGGAGAAAGATGGAGAGACGCCTGGGGGAGAAACCAGACTTGGGCTTTTGGAGAGAAAGATGCGCAAGAAATTCAGGCACGTGAATTCTTTCTTTAGAGCTGGATCCGTGTTATTAAGGATGTTGGCCCTGGTCACCATCTTTCTCCACAGCCACGAAATACCGCTTTTCACCCATCGAAACAGCAAAAACTAGAAGCGTCAGTCTTGCCATCTACCTGCATCTGTGCCCACATCCTCCGCTTCCTCTCCCATTTCTATAGATGAACAATCGTCACCCCCTTATAAGACAGACCCCCTCCACCTGCGCCAGGTACCCCATCCCCTCTCACCTCTTTGAGGGCACTGTTGCAGCCAGCAGTTCTCTGCTCCCTCGCCTGCATCATCATTTCTTCCCCTTCCCCATTATCATACGAACACATTACAATTTCTCACATGTTCCATGGAAAAGAATTAAAAACAAAAAAGCACCCTGCTCTCAGCCTTCATGCTCTCCTAGTTTGGGCTCCCCTTGACAGCAAGTCTCCAAAACGTTGGCTACACGTCCTGTCTGCATTTCTCTTCTCCTGCTCTGAGCCCACTCCCTGCAGGCTTCCTCCCCTGCTGAACTTTACCAACTGTGCCCCTTTGACGGGCACCAGTGATGTCTGTGTTATTGAAGCCAGTGGCTGGCTCTTTGGGGTTCACCTCACTTGATTCATCGGCAGCATTTAACGAGCGGATCCCTTCCTGCTCCTTTGAAGTCTTTCCCTGACTTCTGAGACACTACTCACTCCTGGCCCTTCTCTTAATTCATTGACTGCTTCTCCTGCGTGCCTGGTGCTGTTTATTCTCATGAACCTCTATGTGATCAAGCATCTGGGTCTCTTCTTTTCCTCTGTCGACGCTCACTCCCTTGGTGATCTCATCGTGGCTTTAAATACCATCAACATGCTGACGACTCCCACATTTCATGTCTCCAGCCAGACCTGGCTCTTAAATTCCCCACTTCATGTCCAACTGCCTACTCAACAAATTCACCTTCAAAACCAAGCTCCTGACCTCCACCCTTCTCTCGTTCCAGATGAGCTCCTTTTAGAGTCCCGGTCTTCTCAGTAAAGAGTCTCTTTGTCTGTTCCACCCTTCCGCCATGACCTCAGTCTTGCCCTTGAATTTCTTTTCTTGCACGCCATGTGTCTGTTTTGCTACCAAACCCTGCCCGCTTCGAAATAGACCCGGAATCGAGACCATTTCTCAACACTTCATCCTCGCCACCCCGGTTCCTCCCAGCAACACTCATCTCTCACCGGGATTGTCACAACTTTCTTATCTGGCCTCCATGCTTTCATCCCTGTCTGCCTACACTCTGCTTACCGCACACAGCCGCCAGCATGACCCTTTAAAGATGTAAGTCAGGGCAGGTTGCTCCTCTTCACAACGGCCTGCAGACCTTGCTCTTGTTCAGAGTGAAGGTGTCCTCGTGGTGGCCGAGAAGGCTCTGGAACCTCTGTTCCCAATAGTCCTCCGATATCACTTACCCCTTCCTCTTCTCCCGCCTTTCCCATGCCACACACAATCCCATCTCAGAACCTGAGCAGTTATGGGCTTCCCTGGTAGTCCAGTGGTTGAGAATCCACCTGTCAACGCAGAGGACATGGGTTCAAACCCTGGTCCGGGATGATTCCACATGCCGTGGAGCAACTAAGCCTGTGGGCCCCAACGACTGAAGCCCGTGCGCTCTAGAGTCCATTCTGCTGCAACAAGAGAAGCCACTGCAATGAGAAGCCCACCGGTCACAGCTCAAGAAAGCCCGTGTGCAGCAGTGAAGACACAAAATAATAAATAACAATAATAAGCCAAAAATAATAAATAACAGAAAAGCACTTCAGTAGTTCAGTTCCCACTCCCGGAGCCCTCTCCCCCACCAGGTGTCTGCCTGACTTCTTCCCTTCTTGCCATCTTCTGTGAAGACTTCCTTCATCGCTGTAGCTGGAGATCCTTGAGACGAGGTCCGGGAATCACTAAGCAGGACTCACAGAGCTCAGAAAATCTCCTCTACCCAGGATGTTGGTTTATTCCAGAGAGAAAAATGGCGCACACGGCCAAGTCCAGGACTAACCAGGCATGAGCTTCCAACTGCCCTCTCCCGTGGAGTCGTATGGACAGTGCTTCCGTTGCCCAACAACCCTGTGTGACAACATGTACAGGGTATGGCCCCCCAGGAAAGCCCACCTGAGCCTGTGGTTTTTATTGGGTGTTGGTCACATAGGCACATGGCTGTCTGCCTGCACCGCTAGCTTTAGTCTTCAGCTCCTCCGCAGGTCCAACATGCCCCCAGACCTCCACCACGAATCCCCTCATTAAGATAGACTATCTGATGTGGCCCAAGGCCCCCGGGTAAAGAAAGACACTGTTATTAGGCGGAATATTCCAAGGGCTTACAGATTTTCTCCTAGAGACTGGGCAAGGGCCAAACTTTTCTTTGTAAGGTAAATAACAGTCCTGCTGAATTAACCACTCAATGCACGACCTGCTTACAATTATAACCTTCCTCTGACGTTCTCTGCATTCTCTATCCCCTCACTCTGCCTTGAAAGTGAAAGTGTTAGTGGCTCCGTTGTGTCCAAGTCTTTGCGATCCCATGGACTGTAGCCCGCCAGGCTCCTCTGTCCGTGGAATTCTCCAGGCAAAAACACTGGAGTGGGCTGCCCTTCACTTCTCCAGGGGATCTTCCTGACACAGGTTTGGAACCCATGTCTCCCACATTGCGAGCAGATTCTTAACTCTCTGAATATTTGCTGGATGCGTGAATGAGCTGCAGGCATTTTTGAGGGTGTGGTGAGATATGAATCCTTCTTATCTGAGCAAAAGCTTGCCAGTACTTGGTGAAATTGATTAAGAGTAAGACTTTTGGTCCAGCGATCCCACTTTTGAGAGTATTCCAGAGAAGCCTTCTGTAGATTATATAAGGGGCCTGCCCCACAGTGGTCATTGCACTATTGCCTGGATGTCCATCACTGGGGAACTGGGTCATTAAACATGGTGGGTGTATACCATGAGTGGTGCTCCTCAAGTTAAAAAGCATTGAATCCCCTGGATTGCAGGGGTGGGGGGTGGGTTGGTGGCTTGGGCAGGGGATCTTGTTACAATGCAGATTTTGGTTCAGTTGGTCTGGGATGGAGTCCGAGACCAATATTAATTTTTCAATATTAATTTATTTTTAGCTGTGCTGGGTCTCCGTTGCTGAGAGGGCTTTTCTCTAGTTGCAGCCGAGTGGAGGCTCCTCTTCGTTTTGGTGCCCGTGCTTCTCACTGCGGTAGCTTCTCTCGTTGCCTAGCACAGGCTCTAGGCGCACGGACTTCAGTAGTTGTGGTGCATGGGCTTAACTGCCCCCAGCATGGGGAATCTTCCCGGACCAGGGATCAAACCTGTGTCCCTTGCATCAGCAGGCAGATTCTTATCCACTGCACCCCCAGGGAACTCCTGACTCACAATGTTAAAACTTATGCTGCCTTTGCAGTTTTTGTGAAGTGTTGACTCTGTTCNGGATCAAACCTGTGTCCCTTGCATCAGCAGGCAGATTCTTATCCACTGCACCCCCAGGGAACTCCTGACTCACAATGTTAAAACTTATGCTGCCTTTGCAGTTTTGGTGAAGTGTTGACTCTGTTCTCCCCCAGCAGTCTGATGAGCTGTAGCAGCTGGGCAGCTCCCAGGCTGCCCCTCAGAACTCTCTGATCCTCGGTTGCCCCCCACGGCCGAGCAGATGGGCACATGTGGCCACGCAGGCTTCCACTGTATCTGATTCTGCAAGCACAGAACCTCGAGAAGATGGAGATGGAATTGCGAAGGGGTGCCCAGATGCTTGGGGCTTTCCAGGTGGCACTAGTGGTAAAGAACCGCCTGCTAAATCAGGAGACAGAAGAGACGCGGGTTTGATCCCTGGATCAGGAAGATCCCCTGGAGGAGGGCATGGCAACCCACTCTGGTATTCTTGCCTGGAGAATCCCATGGACAGAGGAGCCTGGCAGGTCACAGTCCATGGAGTCGCAAAGAGTCAAACACGACTGAAGTGACTTGGTACACATAGATGTCCAGATGCTCACCGTTACAGACATAACGTGACAGATATAAATAGCCTTGAAGCATAGATATCAGCAATGATAATTAGGAATTGATGAGTTTTGAGTATTGACTTTTCAAAAGTGTACATTATTTAATTGTGAGTTTCTGTAATTTAATTTTCTTTTATGGTTGTGTTGAGCAACCGGCACTCCAAATCCCTGAAAATTTGCCAAGAGGCTCTTATGGGCTGGTATGAGCTGGCTCTGGCGTACATACAAGGCCTGCCACCCAGCCCAGGTTTAATGACCTTTTTATTCCTAGCAACTCTCTACCTTTAAATGATGTTTACTGTTTCTTGTCTGGCATCTCCTGCTAGGACGTAAGCTCTGTGATGAGAAGCATTTACATTTGTCTGGCTTGTTCGTGGGCCTACTTCCAGTACCTAGGAACCATGCCTGGCGCATAGTAGGTGCCCAGTAAATAGCGGTTCTTGAACGAAAATAAGAAAGAGAATGAGATTCAAAACACAACGATGTTGTACAAATTAGAAGCAACACGATATGACAACCAGTGTGGGAAAGGAGGCACATTATTGCAGGCCCAGCTGGGCTGGTGCCTGTGGAGAGGAGGGTATCCGGAGTCAGGGGGTGACAAGTAGAAATAAGTAAATGAGTTCAGGACCTGAACTCAAGGGTGTGATTAACTCAAGTCTCCTCACCTAACCGCTGATGAGGAAAAGAAGGACCTCTCCATTTGCACCATGTTTTCCCAGGAAACAAGGTCGGGCTTTGCCCTGCCAGTCCTGGGCCTGGCAGTCCCTAATCACAGGACCCTGAGAAGAGGCTGGGGGAGGGGTGGTCCTGCTCAGGGGGCCACACGGCAAGGCTGGGCTGTTTTCTTCCACCATACCAGGTACGGTGGATGGCGAGGGGGTGGACCCCCAGGGGACACCATGCGCCTCAGGACACGGCTCCTGGCTGGCCGTGATTGGACCGCTATGCCTGTCTGTTGAGTGCGTTAGATGAATGGGTGAATGGAATTTAAGATTGCTAAAAAAACTTTCTTTAAGCTTTTTATTTTGTATTGGGGTACAGCCGGTTAGGGCGTCCCTGGTGGCTCAGCGAGTAAAGAATCCGCCTGCCAATGTAGGAGACTGGGGTTCGATCCCTGTGTCGGGAAGATTCCCTGGAGGAGAAATAGCAACCCACTGCAGTATTCTTGCCTGGAGAATCCTCCTCCCCTGGACAGAGGAGCCTGGCAGGCTACAGTCCAAAGGATGTCAAAGAATCGGACACAACTGAGCGGCTGAAAATGCAGGCAGAGCCGATTAACAAACAACGTTGTGATAATTTCAGGCGAACAGCGAAGGGACTCAGCCTCACTAGACACATGTATCCTTTCTCTCCCAAACGCCCCTCCCATCCAGGCTGCCACATAATATTGAGCAGAGTCCTCTGTGATATACAGTAGGTCCTTGTTGTAGGACTGTTAAAATTTTATTGATGGTATTTGTCTGGCTTTTAGAGACATTGAGAGCTTTGAAAATTGTCCTCTTTGGAATATGGTGCCAGTTCAATGCCTCTGTGTTCATGCGCCTGCTCTGGTGTCTCAGGGGTACCCTGGATAACGATGGGGAGGGTGTAGGGGTGCAGGGAGAAGCCCTGAAGGAACCGCTCTGGGAGAGGGGAGTTCTGAGCCAGGGGTCAGGATCAGGATGCTGGGGGTCCGAGGGAGGGGGTGCTGGGGGCTGGGTCTTGAGTGGGAGGGGCAGGGTCTTGGGGAGCCTGTGGGCAGGTGAGGTTCTGTCCTGCCGGCTACGATCTGCTCCGCATGGTTTCCTGGATCCAGGTGTGGTATTTGCACAGGTTGGTGTAGACGCCGGGGTAACCGGGCTGGGCACAGCGCTCCATCCCCCAGGACACGAGACCCTGGAGCTGCCCTCCGCAAACCAGGGGTCCCCCGGAGTCACCCTGATGGGGAGAGGCAGAGACTGAGACATCCGTGGACCAACGGCCAGAGCCCCGGCCGCGGGGAGCCCGAGAGGCAAAGATGTGGGGATGGCTGAGACCCTCCCCCCTGACCGGGCAGGGCCTCTGGAGGTCTCAGCTCCTGGGGCGTGGGGTCCCTTGTCCTGTGTGTCTCTTGGGCTCCTCTTCATCTAAGCTCTGCGTCTAGAAAACTGCATGTGTGTTTCCACATGCAGTGACTCTGCATGACTCTGGAGACGTTGCTCGGGGATGGATTAAGACCTCCAGACCCTGAGCAAGCTTTCCAGGGGCCCACATGTAACGATGGCAATGACTGTGGTGGTCAGAGCTCTGCACTCTTGCCATGGACGAGCTCATCCCATTCCACCCTGTCCGGCTGCCCCCATGGGACAGGTGACGAAAGCGAAGCCCGGAAGGTTACATCCATACCCAAGGGCGAACAGCTAGGAGACAGCCTGGCTGTGACAACCTCTCTTGGTCTCTGGGGGTGGGAGGGGGCCTCCCCTGATCTTCCTGCTCCTGAGGTCCTCTCATACCCAAGTCTTAGCCCCGACAAGCTCCCCGCCCAGGCTTTCTCCCTGGGGCTCACCTGACAAGAGTCCTTCCCGCCTTGGGGGACCCCTGCACAGACCATGCCCGGGGTGATGGCTCCAGAGTAGGCCCGCCGACACTCCTGATCCGAGAAGATGTTGATGTTTACGCATTGCAGAGAGTTGGGGTACCTGGCTGAGAGGGGGTGGCATTGAGGTGTTAAAATGAGGTCTACTCTCCAATAGGACCCAGAAGTTTGGGCCTGAGACCCTCCTCCCTCAGACCCGGGACTCAGCCCCCCAGCCCCTCTGCCCTCAGACCCAGGGGTCCAGGCCCCCAGCCCCTCCTCCCTCAGACCCAGGGGTCCAGCCCACAGCCCCTCGTTCCCGATGCAGGACCCCTCACCAACAGGACTGGAGATGGTTCCCCAGCCTGACACAAGGCAGGAGGAGCCCACGCCGGCGCAGGAGCGGGCCACGGAGATGGGCCGCACCCCCCGCCCCAGCCGAGCAGGCCGCTCCAGCCGCAGCAGCATCAGGTCGTTGTCGTTGGTCCGAGAGTTGTACTGGGGGTGCGGCACCTGGCGGGCCACGCGCAGCACCTGCTGTGTGGCCTCCCAGACCTTCAGGTTGTGCTTGCCCAGGGCGACTCGAAGGATCCTGGCCCACGACCCCCAAGAGTGGTGCTGCTCAGGATGTGAGCTGAGACCCCGCCCACCATCCAGTGATGCTCCTGCTCCCGGGACGAGTTTTCCTCCAGGCTGACCCTCCCGTGGGCTTCCCAGGTGGCTCAGCGGTAAAGAATCACCCTGCTGATGCAGGAGACACCAGAGACGCGGGCTCCATCACTGGGTTGGGAAGATCCCCTGGAGGAGGGCGTGGCAACCCACTCCAGTATCCTTGTCTGGAGAATCCCCATGGACAGAGGGGCCTGGCGGGCTACTGTCCAGGTTCACAAAGAGTTGGACATGGCTGAGCACACACACACACACACACACACAAAACCCTCCCTCTAATTGCAGGCAGAGTGTTTCCTGGAATCTTGGACCCTTTCCGCCGGCCTGGACACTCTCTCTGGGCCCAGTCTTATATCCTCCCCTTCCACTGGTGGGCTGTGCTCTGCCTTCTGAGGTTTGCGGGTTGCAGGCTCTGCCCTAGGGTATGTGCCTGGGTCAAGACTCTGTGTTCTAAAGCGAGGCTCTGAGCTGTGGCTCTAGGCTTGAAATCAAATTGCTCTTCTGGAGTAGGCACCAGGGAGGCTCCATTGCAGTTCCAGCCTGGCCTTTGGGCTCTCGACACCCTAAACTTTTGACTTAAGCTTGGAGTTGTGTTCTAGATTAAATCTAGATGCTAGCATACTTTCTAGATACTAGCAGATACTAGATGTGAGCTCCAGGTTCTAGGTTGAGTTCTGGGTTCTTGATGAAGCTCTGGTTTATGACGTGGGTTGGAGACAGTGACTTGAGCTCTGTGGTCCAGTTGGCCTCAGGGTTCTAAACATCAGCCTGCTTTCTTGATATTAGGTTGGGTTCTGCTTTAGATCAAATTACAGGTGATAGTCTGTGGATTCTTGGTTCAAGATTCTGATCTGAGCCTTTGACCTCAAGTTGGGCTCTAGGTTCTAGAAGGAGCTCCAGACTATGGTCAGGATCCCAGGTTCTAGATGTTGGTTTCCATTCTGGGCTTTACGTTCTAGACTCTGGGCCCTCAGTTCTACACTGAACTTCAGTTTATGGTGTTAAATCTGGTTTGTGAGCACTGGGTGAGCTTTTGTCTGGACATTGATTTCTAGTGTGGGGTCCAAGTTTAGGTCTAGAATCTGGGAAGGGCCCTGGGCTCTCTATGAAGCTTTAGATTATGGTCTTCATTCTGGGATGGAGAGAACAGGTTGAGGTCTGGGTTTTAGACTCCTCAAAGAAGAGCTGTAGACTAGACTCTGGATTACATGTTGGATCTAGAACAAGTCCCAGGTTCTGTCTTTACCCCATGCTCTGAGCTGCAAGCAGGTTTCCAGATTCATGGCTGGACAGTGGGTTCTGAACCTGACTCTGGATCCCAGGCAGTGTTCTGAGAGGGGTCCTGGGTGTCTGAAGGTAGCTGTGTCCCGAATTCAACCACCACTCCCAATCTTAGTCTCTATGTGGAGATTGGCCTCTGGATGGATGTCAGGTTTTGTGTTAGGTTCTAGATTCTGTGCAGGACTCTAAGCTGGTGTATGGGTTCTAACCGGCTTCCCAGGTGGCTTAGTGGTAAAGAATTCATCTGCCAAAGTATGAGATGCAGGTTCGATCCCTGGGTCGGGAAGATCCCCTGGAGGAGGAAACGGCAACCCACTCCAGTAGTCTTGCCTAAAAAAACCCAACAGAGCAGCCTGTTGGGTTACAAGAAGGAGCTCCAGACTATGGTCAGGATCCCAGGTTCTAGATGTTGGTTTCCATTCTGGGCTTTACGTTCTAGACTCTGGGCCCTCAGTTCTACACTGAACTTCAGTTTATGGCATTAAATCTGGTTTGTGAGCACTGGGTGAGCTTTTGTCTGGACATTGATTTCTAGTGTGGGGTCCAAGTTTAGGTCTAGAATCTGGGAAGGGCCCTGGGCTCTCTATGAAGCTTTAGATTATGGTCTTCATTCTGGGATGGAGAGAACAGGTTGAGGTCTGGGTTTTAGACTCCTCAAAGAAGAGCTGTAGACTAGACTCTGGATTACATGTTGGATCTAGAACAAGTCCCAGGTTCTGTCTTTACCCCATGCTCTGAGCTGCAAGCAGGTTTCCAGATTCATGGCTGGACAGTGGGTTCTGAACCTGACTCTGGATCCCAGGCAGTGTTCTGAGAGGGGTCCTGGGTGTCTGAAGGTAGCTGTGTCCCGAATTCAACCACCACTCCCAATCTTAGTCTCTATGTGGAGATTGGCCTCTGGATGGATGTCAGGTTTTGTGTTAGGTTCTAGATTCTGTGCAGGACTCTAAGCTGGTGTATGGGTTCTAACCGGCTTCCCAGGTGGCTTAGTGGTAAAGAATTCATCTGCCAAAGTATGAGATGCAGGTTCGATCCCTGGGTCGGGAAGATCCCCTGGAGGAGGAAACGGCAACCCACTCCAGTAGTCTTGCCTAAAAAAACCCAACAGAGCAGCCTGTTGGGTTACTGTCCACAGAGACCCGAAGTGTCAGACACGACTGAACGACTAAGCACATGAGCATGGTTTCTAAGCAGTTGATCTGCTTTTAGAATCTAAAATCAGATTCTAGATTCATGGCTGGGTTCCATGTTCTGGGTCTGTGGTTCTAGGCTCTTATCTAGACCCCAAACAAACCCAGCTAGCACCCTGGATTGTACACAGGGCTAGACTCTGGAATTCACTTGGCAGAAGAACCAGGAAGGAACCACTCACGGGCGGGCGCAGTGAGCAGCGGTGATGACCCACTGGTCGGACAGCAGGGACCCTCCACAGAGGAAACGATGCAGCGGGCCTTGCAGGAGGGCTGCCTGCCACGGTTGGGAGCTCTGGGTGCAAGTGTAGCCACCAATTATCTTGTTCTCATTCCCTTGGTTCTGGGCCACGGCTAGGAGAAGGCAAGGGTGAGCTGGAGTAGGGGGAGCAGGTAAACAAAGGCTCTCCACCCAACCCCTAGCTCTCAAGGATGTCCGGAACCCACAAGTCCCCCCTATGTTGCCTAATCCTTAACCCATCTATCTTTATGTACCCCCACCCTGTATGAGATATGCCCAACAGTGCCCCCAGTACTGTCCCAACACGACCAGGGAGTTTTCTGACACCCCCTCACCCCCAGGCACCCCCATAGCACCTATTATGAGGTCCCAGAACCACCTCATCCATGGTCCTGAACTACCGCCCCTGACTCTGCTCTCCTACGCATGCTTTCTACGATCACTTTATGCAATACACCACAGCTCCGCTCAGCTATCCTCCAGCACCATCGGGGAGCTCCCTGTCCCTTCCCCAGACTTCTCGCTCTGTGTGTGGTCCCCCAGGATCACACAGGGCCCCCAGGTTCCCCCCCTCCGTACACCCACTCTTCATGCCACACCACTCCCCCGCCAGGAGCCCACCACCCCATCATCATTTCTGCTGTCACTTCTGATTAGTTCTTCCCTAACACAATCAACAGGGCTTCAGTGGTAAAGAATCTGCCTGCCATTTAAGAGACAAAGGTTCGATCCCTGTGTTGGGAAGATCCCCTGGAGGAGGAAATGGCAACCCAGTCTAGTATTCTTGCCTGGGAAATCCCATGGACAGAGGAGCCTGGTGGGCTACAGTCCACGGGGTCGCAAAGAGGCGGACACGGCTGAGCGAGTAGACGACAGCGCAGTCAGCAAGTGTCCTGCTGGTACTTTCTCATAAGACTCGGTCAGGACCTGACTGTTCTGCTCAGTTCCTCCCTTGATTTCTCACTATCTCTTGATGTTGTTCAGTTGCTCAGTCATGTCCAACTCTTCACCATCTCCTACAAGTCCCTGGACCCTGCGATATTCTAACACCTCCACCACTTAGAACCTGGGCCTTCCTCTAGCACGCTCCTCAACCATGGTCCCCAGACTATCCCCCACCCCTTCTTGCCAGGTGAGCATCTCAGGTCCCCAGGGCCCTTCCCCATCTCCCTGTCCCTTCTCAAAGTTCAGCCCCCTGCCCACCCACTGTCTTACCTACAGCCAAAATCTGAAGAGCCATCAGCAGGAGGAACATTCTGAGGGCTGGCGGCTGGATTCTGGCAAATGCAGAGAGAAAGTGAGGGTCAAGGAAGCTGCAAGAGACCTAGAGGTTATGGGTCAGAGAGGCTCTTAGAGACTGAGACGCTTAGGGACCTGGTTGGGGGACAGAAGAGAGGCCAGAGACCAGGAGGGCGGGGTCTGGGGCAGGGGGTGCTCCTTGGTGGCTGGAGAGGATGCTGAGATGGGCTCAGGGCTTGCCTTGATGTCTCCTGTCTGGTGGAGTGGGGGTGGCGTCTGCCTTCCTTGTCACTCGCCGAGGCCTTTTATCCCTGGTCTGAGTAGCTGGCCCTGCTTCTTCCTCCACCCTTCTGAGGTTTTTTTTTTTCCTTTTTTTTTTTTTATTGCCTATTTCCCACTCCAGGATCTCCATCCCATCTCCTCCCATCTCCTCTCTGGCCAGAGAAGCAGCCACAATTGTTCATGAGAACCTGCCTACCTGGCGGGGGAAGGTGTTATAATCTGGGAGGAACCCAGGGAGGGGGGAAGTCCCGGGCAGGGTGGACAAGTGGGGTGGGGGGGGGGCGACTTGAGGGAAGGTGCTGGGAGGGGCCGGGAGAGGGAGGGACAGGGGCAGAGAGAGAGAGAGGCTGCCCCGGGAGCAGAGTGAGGTGAGGAAATGTGAGAGAAATAGCAACAGGAAGGCAGAGGGCGAGGGAGAGGAATACGGCCCAGACAGACCTGGGAGAGGTGGGGAGACTTTAGGGAGATGGAGACTAGAGATCAGGAAGGAGGAGGCAGACAGAAAAAGGCAGGATGGGTGGGGGCGGGGCGCAGCGACAGGGATTCACGGAGAGATGAGTGTGGGAAAATGAGAGACAGAAGCAGAGAAACAGAAGGAAGGAGGGGAAGACAGAATGGACAGAGGCAGAGAGAAGGAGGAAAAAGCACATAGAGACACAGCAGCAGAGGTGCCCCACCCCCACACACATGTGAGGGATGGCAGCGGAGAGGACCGGGAGGCCCAGGGATGGCGAGGAAGGATGTGGAGATCCGACACGAGACCGGGCAGAGGACGGGGGAGAGGGAGAGGGAGTGGAGGTCACGGAGGGCCCTTGAGAAAGAGGGGCGACGGGGAGACAGAGATGAGAGGTGACAGCCGCAGAGGAACAGAGAGGGGCTGGGAGTGGGGCTGGGGGCTGGCAGGAGACGGGAGGAGCTGGGGGCACCAAGGTTCTAGGCGGCCTGTCTCCCACACGTTCTCATCCTNTGGGGAGGGGTGGAGGGGTGGGGGGTGGAACAGGCAGCTGCTCTGTGAGGGCTCAGATGCTGTAGTGGGTTTTGCTGTTGCTTTGGCATGCAGAATCTTAGTTCCTTGACCAGGGATTGAACCCCTGTCCCCCGTGCATTGAGAGCATGGAGGTTTTTTGTTTTTTTATTTTTTTAATTTTAATTTCATTTAATGTTTTACATTCCATTTTATAATTTATTTTTAATGGGAGGATAATTGCTTTACAGTGTCAGTTTCCGCCTGTATAACGACGTGAATCAGCCTTATGTATGAATATGTCCTCTCTCCCGAGCTTCCCTCCCGCCCCCGTCCCACCCCTCCAGGTCATCACAGAGCACTGGGCTGAGCTCCCTGAGCTATAAAGCAGCTTCCCACTGGCTATTTCACACGTGTGCGCAGTCGTCTCTGACTCTTTGCGGCCCCAGGGACTGTAGCTCGCCAAGCTCCTCTGGCCTCAACCTTCTCCAGGCAAGAATACCGGCGTGGGTTGCTGTGCCCTCCTGCAGGGAATCTTCCCAGCCCAGGGATCGAACCCCTGTCCCCAGCATTTGCAGGCGGATTCTTCATTGCTGTACTGCCAGGGAGGCCCCAGAAGACTGTAATTTGAAGGACTCACAGGGATCCTCTGCTGAGCTGGAAGATAAACCCGAGATCTCCTCTTCCCCGAAAGAATACGCAGCTTAAGCAGAAGGCCTCAGTGAGACCCAGGGAGCCCAGGAAAAACGTACTGGGGACGTGGCCACAAAGAGGGCTCAGCTCACTGCCTTATCTCCCCACCCCAGCCCCGAGCCCCCTCAGCATCACTGCTGGGTTATCTGTCCCCTTCCAGCCACACTCCGTCCTGGGCTGCCCTGCTCCCACTCCACCCATTATGGGGGTCCTCAAAAAATATTTGATGAATGAATGAATGGACACATGGCCACAATCCTTTCCTTCCAGGAGCTCACTGTCTGGCAAGAGAGGCCAAAGAGGAAACGGGGGAAACTCAGTCCAGTGTGACGCGTGTTCTGATTGGATGGAGGGGACTGCTGAAGGTTCTGATGAAGCCTCAGGAGTGGGCAACGGGCTCCCAGAGGGTGGGCTTTCTAAGTCGGGCCCTGCGGATGAGTCGGAGCTCACCAGGGGCATGGACGCAGTGAGGAGAGCAGCTCTGAGTACGGCTCTTCAGACGGGAGGACGGGGCAGAGCTCAGAGTGCTAGGGGGAGAAGGGATCCCCCAGTGATTCTCAGCGGGGGAGAGAAGCGCCCTTAGGGCCATCACTGCAGACCTGGGCTGCCTCTGAGGGGAGCTGTCTGGTTAGAGACAGTGGTGGGGTGTCACTAGCACCGATGGAAGGTGCTGGAAACCGGAGCGCTGCGGCACTCATGTGAAGTGATTGAATAGAATGAAAAGACCTGGGGCGTCTGCTCTGGACCCCAAGGAAGACCCCCAGCTTAGGGGTCAGGGGGCTGAGAAGGAGAAATGGAAGAGCCAAGAAGGAAACCAGGAGAGGGTGGCATCAGGGAAACGGAGATGAATTTTAAGAAGAGAGTGGTGCCGGAGTCAACACATGAGACCCTACCCCTAACAAGGCCGTAAGGGAGAAAACCTGACGGGCAAGGGATTTCGAAAAGGCCAGCTCATGAGATCCCACCCATGACAAGGTCATGAGGAGAAAGCCTGGCAGGCAAGGCAGATCAGGTTTTCAGGGATTTCAAAAAGCTGCCCCCAGCTCTCACCTTAAAGATGATATCTGTCTTTCTGATGCCTGCCTCAATGGACTCTGACACAGGCAGGAAGGCCTTCCCCGATCTCTTCCCAAATAAGAATCAATTTAGAACTTTAATCAATAAGTTTCCCAGGTGGTGGTATTTTATGAGATTATTCAGGGTGAAAGGAGTGTTTTAATTCAAACTCCTTTGCTGGTAGTTTGTTAGCCAAATGAATTTATGCCCTTGGTACTAATTTGCATGATTGCTTATAATATCCTAATCATAAAATAGCATAAAGAGCCTGATTATATAAAAGCCCTAATAGACATAGAGCCTTTTTAAGGGGTAAAGGAGTCCTATTAGAAAACATAAGAAAAATTATTCTATAGGTGGTTATTGGGTTGAGATTCGCTTGCTGTGTTTTTGCTCTTAATGTGCTAAGGCTGTGTTATAGAAGCCATTGTTAATATAGTTAAAGATCCAGAGAAATAAGGACTTAGCCCTAGTGTGGTAGCAATGAGATGGTTGTTAATTGTCAGTCAGGAGTGCTAGGCAAAAGCTGCCTCACCAAAGTCGCAGAGTCAGTATGGGGTAAACTTNTTAGATAAACACAACTGACAACTTCTGCAGAAGGATTAATTTTTGTGTTAACAAGGTTATACTTCTACTCTGTACTGTTGCCCTATGAGACTGCTACCTTTCAGTTAAAGTCACCAGAAAAACAGAAAATAGGTTTACATTCACCTGACCTGCATAAAATGTTAATAGTCCCCAAGGCCAGAAGATAATGCACGAGACCCTCATAAACAAAGAAGTGTGCAGAAAACACCCTGGTTTCGTGAAGGACAAGCTGATGTAATGTTAAACTATCTTCCCCTTAGAAATGTACTAACTTAGGGTATAAAAGCTATGGTAAAAAATAAAACATTGCCAGACTCTGACAGACTCTGCACCCCCCGTCTGGTCACTCTCTCTCTCTCTCTCTCCCTCGCAGACTCGGCCCTATCAAGGCTGGTCACACGTGTCTTCTCTCTCTCTCTCGCCGATGCCGTTCATCCTGAGGGTACCCCCTGGATCCTGTCGAGGCTGGACCCCGGCAGAGTGGCACGAAGGTTGGACCCAGTGAGGTGGCCACTGGCACTGGGGGCTTTTTCTGTTTCTTGTTTTTTCTTCTAGCCTCGTGGCATGTGGCATCTTACTTCCCCGGCCAGGATTGCACCCGGGTGCCCTGCAGTGGAAGGTAGATTCTCAACGCATGGATCACCAGGGAAGTCCTCATTCACAGCATTGAGTGTACAGTCCAGTGGCAAGAAATACTTTCACTTGGTTGTGCAACCATTACCGTCATCTGTCTCCAAAACCTTTTCATCTCCTCTGACTGCAGGTCTGTCCCCATGAAACACCAGCTTCCCATCCTCCCTGCCCCAGGCCCTGGTAGACTCCACTCTACTTTCTGTGTCTATAAATTTGACTACTCTGAAATAGGTATTTCACATTTCAGTGAGCATAGTGCCCTCAAGGTTCACGTGGATGCTGTAACGCATCAGAATTTCCTTCCTCTTTAATAATTAATCCGGTTATTTCCTCTTTGGTGGCACTGGGTCTTCACTGTTGCACGCGGGCTTTCTCTAGCTGTGGTGAGTGGGGGCTCCTCTCTCGTTGCAGCGTGGGGGCTTCTCACTGTGGTGGTTTCTTTTGTTGCGGAGCACGGGCTCTAGGGAGCACAGGTTTCAGGAGTTGTGGTGCATAGGCTTAGGTGCTCTGTGGCGTGTGGAATGTTCCCAGACCAGGGATCGAACCCATGTCGCCTGCCCTGGCAGATGAATCCTTAACCACTGGACCACAGGGCAGTCTCCCTTTCTTTTTCTCTTCTCCTTCCTTTCAAAGGCTGGATCACACACCTTCGTATGGATGGGCCACGTTTTGTGTATCCAGGTAACTGTTTTTTAAGAGTTATTTTGGGCGCGGGTTGTTGACATTTTAGGGACGAGTGTTTACGTATAGATTTTGGCTCTGCTGGGGCTTTGCTGCAGTGCGTGGGCTTCTCCTTGCGGTGGCTTCTCTCTTTGCGGAGCAGGGGCTCTGGGCACGTGCGCTCAGCAGTTGCAGTCCCCGCGTCTACAGCACAGGCGCAACCGTTGTGGCGCGCAGAGTGTAGCTGCCCCGTGGCACGTGGGATTTCCTGGTGGTCCAGTGGTTAAGCAGCCACCTGGCCACGCAGGGGACACTGGTTCGGTCCCTGGTCTGAGAAGATCCCAGGTCACTTTCTTAATATGGGTTAGTTTCTTTCATCCTTCCTTCCCTCCCCCCGCCTTCCTCTCCCTCCTTCCCTTCAACAAATATTTTTTGAGTACCTGCTATACATCAGTCATGGTTCTAAGGGACTATATAGTCCATGGAATTCTCCAGGCCAGAATACTGGAGTGCGTAGCNTGTAAGGGGGTCTGATGTGCCTGGGGACCAGCGAGGAGGCCAGTGTAGCCGGAGAAGCTGAGCC